CGCCGGACTCTGGTGAGTACTGGGAACCCCGCGGCTGCTGGGGTTGGCCAGAGAACAGCTGGCCCGTCACCACGGGGAAATCAATAACACAGAGTCTGGTGGCAGATATCTTAGTCTGGCGGCAGAAAGTGCAGCTTGGTGACGTCACCAGGTCCCCCTGTAGGGAGGGCTGGTGGAAGACATCTTGAATTCTGGCAGAGCCTGATTACGTGCTGGCTTCAGCTCCACACAGAGAACTTAGTGGGAGACATCTTGATTTTGGGCAGATCTGCTATTCTGGTGCTTCTGTCACAGAGAGGTTTGGAAGAGAATGGCTGGGATTTGGGCAGAACCCTGTGCCATAGTGACATTACTCAGCTGCTTCTGGTACAAAGAGAACTGGCAGGAGCTACTGGGGCTAAACCAAGCCTCTGCTTGGGGCCCAATAAGCGGATACAAAATAGTCACAACTCAGTGACAACCAGAAAGTACAGCCTAATTTATGAATTAACTGGCACAGAGGCTAGAGACTAGCCTGTACTGCCCCTGCATCCCAGCCTACCCCAGATAACAGTAAATTGGGGAGGACAGCAAAAACTCAAGCCAGCACGCTTCTGAAAGGCCCTAAGCAATTCGGAGAGGGCCAGAGAACTCCAGGACAGTCTGAAAGAAACCAGAAACATGACAAGAGATAAAAATTTTTAAAAAATCTCCAGCTGCCCAACAGGAGAAAATAAGCCCAGGAGAACTAAACACTGAAGAGAACAAGCACAGTAACCATCCACTACTCGACACAGCATCAGCTGAAATTAAAAAATACCTACATGATCTCATAGAGGAATTTAAAGCTGTACTCCTGATCCAAGTGAGGCAAGATATAAAGAGATTAATTAAAGAAATGACAAGCCCCGCCCAAGAGAACACAGATGGAAGAACTGAGGAAATCAGAAAAGAAAGAGAAGCATCTGAAGAAGAATTTAAACATAACTTAGAATACATGAAACAGATCCAAAGAGAATATCAGGAAACTAAAAACTCCATTGAACACTGGCAAAATGCCTTGACAGAAACTAAAGACAGCCTTCTGAAACTTGAAGAGAGATTTAGGGCATATGAACGTGAAAGAAAAAGCCTCTTAAAAACAACAAGGAACCAGAAAGAAGCAATTCTAGAACTGGAAGATGACAAAAAGATACATAACCTAAGAATAAAGAATGTGAGTAAGGAAGCAGGAACATCCAAAAATGAAATACAAAAAATATTCACAGATATATTAAAGCAAAATTTCCCATGTATAGCAAAAAGAAATGATATCCAGATAAAAGAAGCATAGAGAACACCAGCTACTTACAACCAAAACAGATCTATGCCTAGACATATAATAATCGAGATCCCAGAAATCCACCAAAAGAACAGAATATTAAAAGCAGCCAGAGAAAAGATGCAGGTTACCTGTAATGGGAAAACTATCAAAATAACAGCAGACTTATCAACACAAGCTCTTAAGTCAAGAAGGGAGTGGGGAGAAATATTCCAAGTCCTAAAAGAAAAAAAAATATGCAACTAAAGTTCATATACCCATCAAAACTCTAAAAATTAATGAAGAAATAAGATACTTTCAAGACAAGGAGGAACTGTGGGAGTTCGTGGCCACCAATCCAACCCTACAGAGAGCGCTGAAGGACATTACAGAGAAAGAAAGGAAAAGATACCAGGATTCCAGCAACAGTGGCAGAGAGGCCTCAGTGAATGGGGCAGACAATGGAATGAGGGAATAAGGTGGACAAATTATAGCAGAAAAGTGGAGTAGCAGACATGAGACAGAGACGGTAAGCTATAGTCTTTAGTATAGACAGCTCTGAAACTATATTTTAAAAAAAGCAGAGGTCATTGATAATGGTGTATAACGATTTAAAAGACACAGTAGTCCTAGTGCCATATTTAGATTGAATTTAATTTGTTCTGGTCTGTCCACTCATGTCAGATTTGAGGACACAGACATCTAGAACCAAAAATAGCAGGTTATACCATGGTAACTATCCTTACTTTCCTATTGACTTAGACTGAAATCCTGTATTACTTGCATTGTCTTACTATGACTGATCTTAATTGTATCTGAATCATAAGACTATTGGTTGGCCTTGACTGATTCTATTTGAAATTGGTATGCTTGTTAGTATCAACCCTAAAAGTAGAGGAAACTACTCTGAGCATGACAAGATGTAAAGGATATCCATACTGGTATGAATCAGTAACAGCTCTCAAATCCTACAATGCTGTCAAAGTTAAGTTTTTATAAAAATAGGTGATAGTATGTTTAACTATAATAAGCCAGTGTTGTGGACAAATCTATTGAAAATAACAAGAGAAAACATAGTAGCTACAGAAGATCATTTATATTGTAGTCTTATATGTCTTATCCATTGCATGTTTTTCTAGGAAATTGTTTTGCTGTCTTGCTATGACTTGGTTTTCCCTATAATACAGAGAGGATAGATATATAGGTAGAAATTCACACATGGATTTTTAAAAATTATTTACGGGAACAGATTATATAAAATGCAAGATGTAAGGAACAGATACTCTGAGGAAGAGACGCTGAGAAGCCCGAGGCTTATTTTGTAGCATTATAATATAAATTCTAGCAATCTATTGTTTGCTGATTAGAATGACATTAGACTGGTTTCTTCAGTTCAACTTCAGCATATGCAGAGATGGGGACGGCTATCACAAAGAGAATGAGAGATGCGATGGTAGTTGCTATTGTCTTCCCTAATTTGGAACTTGAGGACCTAAAAAGACTTCATCATCCTGTAATGATTTGATTAGTTCTATAATATGCAATAAGTATATAAAGTGGGTGAAGATAGGGACAACTATTTGTAAGAAGCTAGAGACAGATAATGAAGATCTCCAGTGGACTTGCTTTGAAATCTGTATTTCTTTAAATTGTTTTTTATTTTTTTTAAATGTTCTGTTCTGTTTTGATATGTTTAATCTTACCCTCTTTGAGATGTAAAACAAATGTGTAGGACTGATAATCATATTACTGAGCTTTTGTTCGATCATAGAGCAGAATGGTTTGTAGGGTCACTTTTTGAATGTCATTCTAAATACTTTAATTCTATAACCTGAACAGCTATTTCGAAGATGACAATGTGTAACTTATCAACCGGCAATTTCTTACCTTTTGTTTGTCTGTAATTTTGTATTATTTCTACCCTTTTTTTTTATCTCCATGTATTTTTTTCGTTTCCTTTTCTTTAAATAAAAAAAAAAATAAATCAGTTGTGAGGAGGGAAAGGAAAGGGGGTGCAAGTGAAACAGTTGACAGCTGATGAGATTGATTTGTGGATATATAACTCATACTCTTTTAATATGCTGGAAAATTTTCATTATAAGGGAAAAATGACATTTCTCTCAATGTAAACCCCTTTAGACCTAAATTGTGAAATGTTTTAGTGTTTGTGAAGGGTATTTGTAAATTGTTGTCACAAAAAAGATGAAAAACTAGAACTTAATGAAATGAAAATTTGAATATGTACAACTCAAAATTTAAGGAAATGATCTAAGAAAAATTTGTAGCATGGTATGTAGAGTGACAGGAGATAAAATTACAGGGAAAAAAGTTAAATAGCCTTAAAAGCCGATTTTAACCTAAGCTAATTCTAGTTTAACGGGAGAGGAGTAGCTTTCAGGATCAGTTAGTCTTTTACCTGTTTTTGTTTTTTAACGAGTAAAAAGTTTGACTTTTCAAGGCTCCTCTTTATCCTGAACTCTGAACATTGAGGAGAGCTAGTTTCAATAAGGCCACCAGGTGGCGTATTTCTTAGCCTCTTTTTTCAAGGTAAAAAATACTTGAGAGCCAATATGAATACGTGAAAATAAGAAATGCTGTAATTTCATCCTTCATATCTGCTTCTTTCCGGGAAAATAGTTTATAAAAATACAATACAACAATCTGTGTTTTTCAGTTCTTTTCCTCTTTAGTGAGAGTTTGAATTTTGTATTAAATTAATAAGTAACAACGGGCTTTCTCTAAAATATATTTGATCGTCGCATGGCGTGTCTCAAGGTGTGGACTTTATCTCACTGAATATTCCACGTAAGGCAATTATGTTTTATTTTTCGACTTTTAAAATTAATTGGTGGTTTGTGAGCTATGAACCTTAGCCAGCCCCTACATGCCATGAAAGAGATCCTCGTTTCTAAGAAATCACACACTACTACTGCCTCAGGGGTTCCTAATATATGGACATTTCTTGTAGCTTCACCTGTTATCTTGATCTCTTCATCAGAACCGGGTGCCTTTTCCGAGTTTGTATATACTATACCCGTGAAAACTAAGCTCCACTTTTGGAGGGTGTAGGGTGGAAAGTAAAGGAGAGGGGGGCGGTGAGGACCACAGCAGGATAAGCGACAACTCCTAGAAGTCCCTGGGAAGCTCCTGGGAGAGGTGATTCATTCTGTTCTGTCCCCGCCCCTGCCTCGCCCCTGCCCCGCCCCAGGCCCCGCCCCAGGCCCCGCCCACCATTAAAGCACAGGTTAGGGCTCCGGCTTCCGGTAAGTAAAGCTCGGAGAAGAGTGAAAGAACAGCCGGTTGCGCGCGTTGACCCGGAAGGAGTGAACCCGGAAGTGGAAGTGGTCGCGGGTGGGCCGGGCTGGAACGTAGTGAGCCGGAAGGGATTCCGACCTCAGTAAGAAAAGCCAACGTCCTTTCTTCTTTTTCTTAGGTATTCACAATTCTTTCTTTAAGTCCTGAAGGAGCTTTTACTTCTCCTCAACTCTGCGGTGCCTCCTTGTAGAATGTCGCTGTGAGTTACTCAGTGTGATTGGCACGTGCTGCTTTGTCGCGGCTTCTGCCGCTTCTGACGTGCAAACTCCGAGTTGCTCTTAAGGTAGCGCAGCGTACTTTTACGATGGTGGGACCAGAGAAGTCTTGTTCCTCGTAGATGTAGAGAACCCTAAAGAACGTCTTGGTTTGTGTCCTTAAAATTAAGCTTCATGACCTTGAGCATTATTATGCTGTAAAGATGGAAATTTTTAGCTAGCAATATTGTAGTAAAAACCTGTCATTCTTTTATTCCGTTCACCATGGAGGGGATACACCTCCATTAATGTGCTTGAGATCAAATGTAAAGATACACAGAAACTTGTGCTAAGTATGTAGCTGCTGAATTTTGATGAATTCTTCCACAGCCCGTTTCCAAATAGGATTCAGTAAGTTAAATTGGTCAGTACAAACCTGCAAACGTTGAATATTGTATACACCATTCGAATATTTTATTTCCTAAGCAATCTTCTAAATTAGCAGATTTAGAGAGAGCAAATGAAAGCTAATATGAAATGCACCTCCTACCTGGAGATATTAAAGGGTGGTTATTTCAACCTTGAATCTCAGAATTTTAGAAGCAAAGTACTTTACTTAGGACCTTTGTATTTTCCCTTTTTGATTCTGTAAAACTACTGTGTACTTTTCTTATCTCTGTTTGAGGAAAAAACGGATAGCTATGGTACACGACCAATTTCAGCTAATCTAATTTTTAAAGTAACCTTTTTTCAAAAATTATGAAAGTAGTATGTGCTATTTGTGTAGAAGTCTTGGAAAAGTAGAAAAAAACATAAAGCAAGCAAAATAATCCCACAAGTAGAGATCATTTTGTTAATATTTTAGTATGTAAATGTTTTTAGTTTTCTTTTGAAAAATACTGTGTGTACTTTCCATATGTTGACAATATTTGGAAAAATTAAAATTTTACTGTTTTACATTCTACTTTTTTTTACTTAATAGTGTGTAATTACGATTGTCCTTTATTCATCAGACCTACTTTCTCCTGTTAGTATTGGAATTTTTCTTCTTTTAAGATCTTAGACAAAAGGGAAGAACCTTTTTGCAGAAAAGCACTGATCTTGGGATAAGCACCCTGCATTCTAATACCACCTCCACTTCTCTGCAGTGATGAATAGTCTTAAGTTACCTGCCTTTCTTCACCATCTAGATACCTAAAACAAAATAAAGAAGACAATAGTCAATATTTCCTTCAAACTTTAGAAATTTATAATTATGATCCAATTAAAACCTGCACAATTATTTATTTGCAGTGAGATACATAAACATCTTTTCTAAAAAAAATTATATATATATATATATATATATATATATATATATATATATACCAACTGCAAAATAAAGCTTCATTTGTCTCCTCTATTATGCAACCTTTCAAATACTTTTACACTTAGTTCTAAATTCTGGATGCTTTCCAGAAAATAGCTGATTTAATCCATTCCACTAATATATTTTATTCACCTACTCTTTTGCCCCATTGTGTATTTTGCATGCTGCTTTAATTTGTTTTAATATATCATTATTCAGAGGTTTGAAAAATTATGTGGATTGTTGAATTTGGGGGCTGTTTGGAACTGGCTAATGTAGTGAACTAAACAAGCTTTCTTTAAAGTTATTTCTAGCTTTGTTATACTGTATATCTTTAAAGTCGGCTTTTTTATTTCAGATAGTGTTTGTTATATTTCAGATGCTGAGATGAATCGCCACCTGTGTATTTGGCTTTTTAGGCACCCACCCCTGAATGCCTATCCCCGGTGTCACATCTACCTCCATTCTCATCAGTTTAAACAGCTGCATCTTAAAACAAGACTGTGGCTTCTTGGACAAAATAGGAATCACATTCTCCATTGTTTTTTAAATAACAATTGGTCCAGGAGATGCTGTCATCAGGATACCAGGATGATCTGGAAGCATAAGGCGTTTCAGAAATACATGGAAGACCTAAGTAAAGAATACCAGACACTTGGTCGGTGTCTGCAGGACGTCCCTGTGAATGAAGCAGACCGAAAGTGCATGACCCGAAGGCATGCTGAGTTGTCACCACTTGCAGCCATTTATCAAGAAATTCAGGATGCTGAACAAGCAATCAAAGAATTAGAGTCAATGTGCAAAAGTAGGTAAAAGATTGTGTGTGACTTCTGAGTTAATGTTTTATTGAACTCTGGCTTTTAAAAAATTAAAAAAAATGCCTACAAGTAATAATCTCAACACTTAGCAAGAACAGGACTGTTATACTCAGGGTGTTTAACATATTTCAGTTATCAACTACTCAAGAGACCAGGCTCCTTGTGGCACTTGCCAAAAAGTTCATAGGCTTTAGAGAATTTGATATGGACCTTATCAGAAGCTTTAATTTGTTGCACAGATCTATACTAAGCATGGTACTGCCTATCAGGAATACAGAAGTATAGTTCCTATCCTATCAAAGGGCTTACAGCCAAATAAAAGAGAGTATATTTAAGTATTGTTTGACATGGGTCACATGCTATCCTATAGAAAGGCACAGAGTTTGAAGGGAGCAAATAGAAACCTCCTAGATGAGGTTGCATATTAGAGGAGACAAATAAAGCTTTATTTTGCAGTTGGTATATATATATATATATATATATATATATATGTATGTATAATTTTTTTTTTTAGAAAAGCGGTTTATGTATCTCACAATTTTGGGGGAGCATATGATATCTGTATGCATATGACATCTGTATCTGTTTAGCTCTGGTGAGGGCTTTACAGCAGATGGTATCACATGGTGGAAGCTAAAAGGTATTCTTTAATATTTTAATTGTAGTTTTAGATTATTTAGAATTTCTATTCTTGTAAACTTTTTTCTTTTCAGTACTGGAGGTTGAACTGAAGGCCTTTTACGTGCTAGGCAAGTATTCTACCCTGAAATGAATGCCTGGTCCTTCAAATTTGTATGTTTAGTGGCTTGAAGCATTTTCTAGGACAGCTGACACATTTCTTAGAACCCATGGAATTGTAGTACTATGATCAGATAAGAAATCTAAGTGTCTTTACTATTACTTTAGGACTTGAACAAAGCATCTCCACTCAGACAAGGGCCTTGTTCTTAGAAGTTTACATATTACTAACTAAGTATTCAATAACTTTTCAGATCTACAATCTTCCAAAATACGAATATCTGGTCAGGCACCGTGGTAGATGCCTATAATTCCAGCATTGAAGGAGGCTGAGGCAGGAGGATCACACGTTTGAATCCTGCCTAAGCAACTTACCAAGACCGTCTCTCAAAGTAAAACATGAAGAGGGCTGGGATGTAGCTGTAATAGAGTGTCCCTGGTCACCATCCTCAGTACCATGCCCCCTCCCCAAATTTTATATATATATATGTGTGTGTGTGTATTTTATATATATGTATGCATATGACCAGCCTACAATTTCAAAATGGAAATATTTAAAATAGTGTTTAGATTTCAGAAGTCTAAAGTGACTTATTCTAAAAATTTGGTACAGTTAGCTCAGTCATTAATTTAGTTATTTACTGACCCAACATTCACAGATTTACTATATACCAGGCACTGTGTAGGTGACAGCAAAAAAAGATGAGTAAGCCTTGAAGTTACCATCTACTTTGGAAAACCTGCCGCATATAAAGTGAAATGCAGTGTGACAAATGCTGAATATGCAACAGAAACCAAGCTTTCAAAGTGGCTCAAAAAAGGGCGTAATCAGTTCTATCAGAGATGGTTGAAATAGACGGTGAAGAATGATTTTCTGTATTACAAAAACAAGGAAGGAGTTTCCAGACGGAGGGAAGAATGTGAGCTAAGCTAAGGAAGCTGAGGAGGTGTGACGTTGTCAGCATGTGGCTTATAATGTAGAGTAACAGCCTCACAGTCTAACACATTGTGAGAGGTCTCAAGTGCCCTGCTGCGAGGTTCTGAGATCCACAAGGTGTCTGGTTTTTGGTGTCATAAATCAAAGAAACTGCTGCCTCATACAAAGTCACCAAAAGTTTATACTTACTTTTCTTATGAGAGTTTTGTATTTTTAATTCTCACACTAAAGTCCTTTATATATGGTGTGTTCATTTATAAGGCAATTTTATTGTAATTTTTAAAATTAAGCTTATTGATACATTTTGGGTATCCATAATGATCACATTAATTATAGGGAGTTTGAACCTGTACATGATATAACTTGATTCTTTTCCCATTTCCCTACCCTTCCTTCAATCCTCCCCCGCCCCCTTTTTTTTTTTTTTTTTGTCTTTTTTGAGACTGGGTCTCACTCTATGCAATTCAGGCTGGCCTTGAGCTCACTTTGTAGCCCAGGCTGGTCTCGAACTCGCAATGATCCTCCTGCCTCAGCCTCCCAAGTGCTGGGATTACAGACATGAGCCACTATGCCCAGCTCCTTGTCCCCCTTCTTATTTACAAAATCTTGGTTTCCATTTTTTCCTTCATTTCTAAACATTTTATTTTTCTTTTCCCTTCCTTCCTTTTTTCCCTTCCCTCCATAGTCCCCCTTCCCATTGGAACATTTTCTTCCTGTTTCACAATATCTGTTATCCATTTTGGTCCTTATTTACCCTTTCAGTTTCTCACATTAGAGAAACAATACAGTGTTTACACATATGTGTCTGATTTATTTCACTTAGGAATATGATCTCAAGATGCATCCATTTAGCTAGTTTTATTGTAATTTTAAATTCAATAAGAAAAATTGTTTTTAATTTAGTATTGCTTTAACGTTTTTTCTCTTAAAAAATATTCAAAATATACAGAAATTGAGAGACAAATATTGCAGACTAAGCCGGGACTGAACACTTACACACAGTTTGCTGTTGCCTTTTTTTCTGTACCTTGTGTTCCATCCTGTTTCATTAAAGCTTAGAAGTGTTACGTGATGGCGAGGCCGGGTCACTAGTATCCTGTAAAATCCTGCATGTCCAAAGCCTCACGTGTTCCTGTTTTCTGTTAGTGGTACTGTAAGTTTCTCCTGCAGGCTTATTGAAGATATTTCTTAGTATTGTACCGTGCCACTTAAAATGTTAGTTTTGGACAGGTTGCACATACATAGGAGGAGCTTACTAACTGCTTTCTAATTAAGTTGATGTGACCTCTTTCAGGCTTGGTTGTATCATTTAATATCAATAGGTTAGATTAGATCATTTCAGAAGGCTCCATTAGCTCTATGATTCTGTTTTTATATAACAATTATGGTAATAGTTATATTTATGAAGTTTTACTACATGCCACACTTTAAGCTAAATACTTTGTCAATGTTATCTCCTTTGAATGGTCATAGTAAATTTATGAAGTAGGAATTGTTACTGTCATCCCCATTTTATAGATGAAAAAGCTAAGAGATTAAATTACCGGGGTTGGGGGTTTAGCTCAGTGGCATAAGCGCCTGCCTTGAAAGCAGGCAGTTGTGAGTTCGATTCCCGGTACCGATAAAAAGGAAAAAGAGAGAAAAAAAAATCCCTAGCAAGAGATTAAATTACCAATGGTTGATCAGCCATACAGGAAGGAACAAGGATTTGGACCCAAGCAATGAGAATCCAAAGTCTCTGCCCTTATCCACTGCACAATGATTTAAGTCCAATAGCTCTACCTCCATAATATATCTTGCCTGAGCCTCTTTCTATTCTTTCCATGCTTTTTGTTTTGTTTTGAGAGCATAAAAAGGCATATTAGGCAGAATTGAAAATAGTATGTCTCTCAAGAGAGGCACACATTATAGTCTGGATTTTTCTTTTTTTCTTTTTTTGGGGGAGGGGGCAGTGGAAATCTGTGGAATTTGTGAATTTGTAGGCAAATTCATTTTTACAGAGGAAAAGCAGTCTACTGTTTTTTGTTGGTTTTGTTTATTTAGGATAAGTGATCTAAGATACTTTACGTAAAAACATTCTTTGTAACCTTTGAATCTGTTTCTCTAAAGGTAAGGTTTCTGCCCTTTATCAACTAATTTTGTATTTAAAGTATCTTTAAGGAATTTTAGTTGTGTTGGGCATGGAAGAAAAGAACTATAAACAAGCCTAGGAAGTACAAATATGATAACCTTGAGTAATTCTGTTTCCTAAAGTTGCAGTCTTTTTAAAATTACAGACTTTAAATTACAATATTCTTTGTCTCCTTTTCCACATAACTATTTTTTATGATTTATTGTCCTCCTCCATCCTGTACCCCTCAGGGATGCAGAGGAGCTGAACGTCCGTATTCTTACAGGTGCTTCAGGCTCAGGAGAGGCATCACCCTGTCCTGCCAGCGATTGTAAGGCTTGTCCTCACTAGTGTAAAGGAGACACAAGAATACAGAGCCATGTGCTTTGAAGAACCATTATGTTTTGATAGTCCCTTTTATTTATCCTGGTCAGTATTAGGAGTCAGTGTAACAGTCTCTTTTTGAAGAATACAGAGCTGTGTGCTTTGAAGAACCATTATGTTTTGATGGTCCCTTTTATTTATCCTGGTTAGTATTAGGAGTCAGTGTTACAGTCTCTCTGTTCTATAGGTGATGTCCTCTTAACATACGGTTTAGGTTGTCTGTTAGAAGTCATATTTCAAGTCTTGATGCCTCTTTATCTCCCAGAGCTAGCATGCCAAAGGGAATGTCACCATACGGAGTCTAAAGAGGTTCCCCAAAGCAGAGATGGGAAACCTGGACTTACCTCACCCTTGGGGCAGGGTATAGAGTCACTGATTTCTGCCACAGAAAAAGAGTTTTCAAAACATGTCAGTGAGAGGCATAAAGAAGTTTATTAGACAGAACTGGAAATACACACTCAAAAAAAATGTATTGTGGGCTCTCGAGAGACAGGTACCCCACTAATTTGAATTTTCATTGTATTTCTGACCTAGATGATTACAATCAGTTCCTGACTTTCAAGTCTCACCTCTAGGCTGTCTAGGCCAATTTTGTTTTTTTTCTTTTTCCTTTTTTTTATCGGTACCATGAATCGAACTCACGACTGCCTGCTTGCAAGGCAGGCGCTTATGCCGCTGAGCTAAATCCCCAGCCCCGGCCAATTTTGTTTGTTTGTTTTGTTTTGTTTTGTTTTTTGAGACAAGATCTTGATAAGTAATTCCGGCTGGCTTTAAACTCACTATGTAGCCGAGGGTACATAGTGAATTTGTGGTGATCTTCCTGCCTTAGCCTCGGAAGTGCCGGAATTGTAGGTATGCACTACCATCCCTGGCGTAGGTCAGGTACAGTGTTAATCATATTGGTCACCTAAAATATTTTGGTAGCTCTCATTGCCTATAGAGATTTCTGTGTTTGACATTAAAAATCTCTGCTGAGTGACGCTAACCTCTTTGTATAGTGTATTCTCTTTACATGTTCTGTCTTCCGTGAACATATCCATTCCTTTCCAGCTGAGTCTTTTTGTTCATCGATTTCACCTTGTTGAAGTTAGTACCCTTACAAAATTTGCCTTATATTCATATCATACTCTGGCTTCAACTTCTTTCTGAAAACAAGTGTAGTTACTTTTTTGTGTTTCATGTTACAGTCGTTTGGGCAGTTGTCTTAACCTCTGCCTCTAACCTCACTGTCTTCTCTAAGACAAGACCTGAGTCTTACTTACTTTTATATCTCCTGTAGCACCAAACATCTAATAAAATAGGCTTTAAAGTCTTTATTTATGTAATATACTGGAACTAAACCGGATTTTACAGCAAATAATAAGAGACCACAAAAATAACTCCAAATGACTGCAAAAGAGGTTTTTCTGCTACCATTGAACTAGGAAGTTAGCTGTGGAGTGATACAGCCTGTTTCCATCTGTGGCATTTATGCACAGTGGGGTTCTAGTGGTTTTGGTACAGTTCTGCAGCAGGTGACCCTGACCTTAGGAACCACGCATAATGTTCTAAAGTCTTGAGTTAGGCCTCTTGTTTCTGACCCTTGGCACAGTGGCACATCCCTTATCACATGTTGTGATTACATGTATGTGCCCATCTTTTCTGGGCGGAGCCACGTGAGGCCCAGAACCACGTTTTATTAATCATTGTGCACTTGGCACAGTGTGTCAAGCACGTAGCGAGTGTTAAATACTCACTACTCAATGTAATACTCAATGTATTAAAAGTGTAAATGAGGGCAGAATCCCACCAGACTCAAATGACTTCTCTGACTACAGAAACACTTTATAAAGTGCCTTTTTTCCTTTTTTAATTTTTTAAGAGTAAAAGTATTGAGAGAAAGAAAGCTTCTGTCTAAGAGGGATAGAAGGGTTTTCCAAGTGGATGGGTCCTCACCTTTTTTCCTTTGTAGCTATTCTTCATTTCTGTTCTTTGCTTTATAATTAGTAAGAGTCAGAAGTTCTACCTCAACTTGAGGTTGTTAGCACTGACATACTAGTTGTCTAAAGCAGTAGAGTCAAAGATCACCATACTTGGCCACTGTATCATCATATTTTGCTACAGTTCTATGATTTAATTTTCTGCTTTTGAAAAGATGAGCCAGGCAAGGTGGCACATGCCTGTAGTCCCAGCCCTCAGGAGGTGAAGACAGGAGGATCACTGCAGTTTGAGGCCAGCCTGACCTACATAGCATAACCCTGTTTCAAAAGAAAAGAAAAGAACCACTGATTCCATGAAGTACAGGTTACAAAGATATGTTTGTTTGATCCACATGGTGTTTTTAAAAATATACTAGATATAAATATATCAAGAGATTTCAAGAGTTCTCTTTTCTGACTGTTTTGGAACAAATAGAGGTTCTAATGATGTTGGATCCACATCACAGAGTATTAAATTGTGACTCTCTTCAGAAATGAAGTGCTCATCCCTACTTACTTTAAAACTTAACCTTATTTGGATTTATATATAGCAAGTTCTTTTTAAAAAACTTACAGGGTCAATCACCATTTCTAGAACTACAGACATTCAAGTAATGGTTTTTTAGGGGGAGCAAAGATCATAGCTGAGTTGTTTGTACTTTGTTAGCAAATACTTGTTAAGTGACATTCTCCAAGTATTCTAATTGTTCTTTTTATATTATTCCTTGCTTTCCAAACTAAAATAAAACTTAGTGGGTAAAGCTGAGAGTAACTAAGACTTTCCCTGCAAATAATTAAAAACTGTCATTCGGTTGCTGGCTTTTTAGGTCTAAATGAACAAGATGAAAAACAGTTACAAGAACTTGCATTAGAAGAAAGGCACAACATTTATCAAAAAATCAACACGCTGTACAGTGAGGTATGTTTTAGGACGTAGACTAATCTCAGTCCTGCTGTATTCTTCCTAGTAGACTATACTTTGCTGCTCAAGTTATTTTCCAAACACTAGCTTATGAAGCGTTCTTCTGTGTAAGTACTTCGCTGGGCTTTGTGCAGTAATTTGCTGCAGAACGAGGTTGAAAAGCTGGCAGTGTGAGTGAGTAAAAGAGACACCCAGAACTAAATATATAAATAAAAATTTATAGCTGAATCTTTTACCGTGCCTGGCAAAAACACACATGTGGGGAAAAAAACGTTATTTACCACAGAGAAGAGTCCAGAGTTTTTAAGTGGTAGAAGGGGATAGCATAGGCATAGCATAGTGGTGATTGTGTTAACTAAGGACTGAAAATTTGCACTATGGATAGAATGGAAGGAACCCAGGGGTGTAGAGACAGTTAGTACAAGTCCTTGTTAGGTCTAGCTAAGGCTTGAGCATACTGCGGTTTCTTAAAACCCCAGTTATGATATTTCCCATATAAGCAGACTTTTTCCTTCAGTAGTGATCTCTTCTAGCTTAGTGGATAGTTTGTCTACAAAGACAGTGAAGAACACACACTACCGTGTACCATGTTTCCTTCTGTTGTATTTGCCGTCATCCTGCCTTTGACTTCCTTACTGTGGGAGTCCAGGGAGGGGCTTTTTGACGGGACAGAGCATGTGGGTTATTAGTATCAAAGTTTAATCAAAGATGAAAGGAAGATTCTGACTCCTAATATTGCATCCCACTGGCTGTGTCATTTTTTAACAGAGATGGAGTATTTCAGAGATTGGCAGTTGGGAGAATAATGACACATAAGTACTTTTAGTGTGATTCGAAAGACCTTTTAATAAGAAGAAAATTGTTTCCCTTTTCTAAGAGGAATGTTGATTCATCCTTTATTAGGAATTCCTTTTTTTGGCTGAGAAACTATTTGAGCCTTTTCTGGGGAGTCCTCAACATAACCTTTAAACAGAGTAACCCCTCTAAAAAGGCAAGGAATAGCATGTCATCTCCCATCATTTGTGGCAAGGAAAATACACAATTATATGCTAAAGGTGTTCATTTTTTTAAGATGAAAATTTTCGAAGCTTTGCTTCATTCATTAGATGAAAGAAGCTACTGTTCAGAACTAATTACAAGTGCCAAAATCTGAAGAAAATTGCATAGAACAATGGACTTTGATCTAAACTACATTTCAGAAAACTAAGATAACCTAATAGCATTGTAGAAAATGTCTAGACAGTTTCATTGTTGATGTCATTTGATCACCTATGTTAGTCTAAGTAGTTCTACTTATAGTAGTTAGGATTAACCTCCTTGACACCCTGGGATTTTATTCATTACTGATTTTTTTTTTTTTTTTTTTTGGTACTGGGGATCGAACTCACGACCTCACACTTGCCAGCAGGTGCTTTGGCCACTGAGCTAAATCCCCAGCTTTTACTCATTTTTAAAAAATTGCTTTAAGGGCTTTTATCTAAGTTCAAGTAATTATAACATACCAAAGAAAATCTATATACTGTTGATGCCTTTTATTTAAGTCCAAGTAATGATAGTATGCAGAGGAAAATTTTTATACTAAAACTATTTTTTCCCCCTTGTCCAGCTTTTTCAGAGTCTGTTGCCAAAGGAAAAATATGACAAAAATGATGTTATTTTAGAGGTGACATCTGGAAGAACTACTGGAGGTCAGTAAAATAATTTTATTGTAACATTGAAAAGTTACTCACGTTTTACCTTAATTCGAATTACTGTGGCTTCCTTATTTTTTTTTTTTAAAGACAAGGTCTCACTATGTAGTTCAGGCAGCCTGGACTCACTGTGTAGCCCAGGCTGGCCTCGAACTGGTGCCCATCCTCCTGCCTCAGCCTCCTGAGTGCTGGGATTACAGGCATGTGCCTGGCTACTCTAACTTTAAAACTTTATTAAATGTGTTTGTTTGGGAAATGGTCTTTTCCTAAGGACCTTGTACTCAAAGGTGGCTTTCTTTCAGATTTGTGCTGTCTGAATGTTTTGTATGACTTTTAGGTGATATCTGCCAGCAGTTTACCCGAGAGATATTTGACATGTACCAAAATTATTCCTGCTATAAGCACTGGAAATTTGAACTTCTGAATTATACACCAGCAGATTATGGTAGGTATATTTGAAGATTTTTGTGCATAGAAGATGCTAAAAATTGTTTTTATCTCACTCTGTATATCCATGTTGCCCTGTTCTTTTTGTTTTTTGTGTTTTGTTTTGTTTTGTTTGAGACAAGGCCAGCCCAACTCTTTGGCAGTCTCCCAAATGCCGGGGTCAAGACATGTCCCATCAAGCCTGGCTAAACATTTGGTCTTACATTTATTAAACAGGTTTGTCCGTCATAGTGTCTTATAGCAGAGTTCTGGGAGAGCAGGAAGGAGGGACACATCCTCCTAAGAAAGACTATGTGTATATTAAAATCTTTTACTCTGAAAGAACTATTGTCATTTATAAAGTACAGCCATAAAATCTGTCAGATTAAGTAGCCTAGTGATGTATTAGATTTATATGGGAGTGCAAAAAGGGCAATTATTTGTCTTTAGTTTCAGGAAATATCCACTGAAATTGGGCTAATAAAATTTATACAATATCAACATCGACAAACAGTGTGAGACCTTAAACAATCAAGTATGAGCCAGGTACAGTGGTGTACGTCTGTAATACCAGTACTTGGGAGGCCAAGGGAGCAGATTTGAAAATGTAAGTCCCACCGAGGCAACTTAGCTAGACTGTGTCTCAAAATAAAAATGGGGGGATTTAGCTCAGCAGCATAGATGCCTGCCTGGCAAGTGCATGGTCGTGAGTTTAATCCCCGGTACAAAATAAATAAATAAATAAAAATAAAAAATGAAAAGGGTCAGAGATGTATCTCAGTAATATGACATACCTAGATTTTATATCTAGTCTATATACTTAGATTTGTTAGTTCAGAATATCTGATAGCAATTCTTGCACTTTTTCCATGCACTTAATCTGTGTCAAAGTTTTCATTTGCTTGGTTATGCAGTACTATAGCATAGTAAACAGGGGTTATAAATAATTAAACACAAACTCACAATGGGAAAAGAAGATTAATATAAATTAAACACTGGGAAGAAGTAAAAGCCAGTGTGTTATATAAATTGTAGTTGGTACAGAGTTTAAGTGTAGCCAGCATTCATGAAAGGAGAGGGAGGGAACAGCCTGAACAGCGGCATGGTGGTGGGAGGCCGCTTGGTGTGTGGGCAGAGCATTGAAGAGGCCCCTTTACTGATGGCTGTTTGCAGTGGGCTACATTGTAATAGCTGACATCAATTTGAATGGGCAGATTTTGAACAAACTTTTTTTGAGATAAGGAGCCAATTATGTAGTTCAGTTGGGCCTCAAAGTCCCTGTGTAACCCAGGCTGGCCTCAGACTCATGGAAGTCTTCCTGACTCAGCCTTGCAAATACTGGATTTCAGGCATGTGCTACCACACCTGGTTAAGTAACTTCATTTGGTTTTGTCTTGTTTTGCTTTTGTCGTTTTGAGACAGGGTCTCACTATATCGTTCACACTGGCCCTGAACTTACTTTGTAGCCCAGGCTGGCCTCAAACTTGCAACGATTTTCCTATCTTAGCCACCTGAGTGCTGGGATTACAGGTGTGTGCCACGCCCGGTGTAGTTTTGAAAATAGAATAAACCCTGACTGATAGGGCACACCAGTTGAAGATATTGGTCTGATTTTAATTTGATAAAATACACATTTTAAGAGGGTTCTTGCCGGTTGTTGTACACACCTGTAATTCCAGCACTCGGGAGGCTGAGGCTGGAGGAGGGCTACAAATTCAGGGCCAGCCTAAACTGCATAGTGAAATCCTGTCTCAGAAAGACAAAAACAGAAAGATAGATAGATAGTTTCTGTTGCCAACTGTATAAAAAATGGATCGAAGAGGCTAGGTTTAAGGCAGCCCACAGAGAGGTCTCTAAAGTAATCCAGAAATATCTAAGAGTTAAAAGAGTAGGTAGGGATACACGTGAGAGACTTTAAAAGGGTACATGGGCAAACTTTGGTTACTGAGTGGCTATAAGAAGGGCTCTTGCTTGTCCGGTATGTTCCGTGTACGTAGCCTCTTGACCTTGTGGTCCCCACATCCTGTGAGGTGCATACTAATGTCATTTTACAGATTGAGGCTCAGAGAGTAGCTGATCCAGGATCACAGCGTAAAGAAGGGGAATCCTCTTATCAGTCTCACCCACAGCCACCGGACAGCTCACTAGTCTGCACTGACACGGGAGATGAGCCACAGGGGTTCTAACCTTTTTAGCTGGGGAGACTGTGGTATCGGAGTGCAAAAAGGGCAATTATTTGTCTTTAGTTTCAGGAAATATCCACTGAAATTGGGCTAATAAAATTTATACACTATCAACATCGACAAACAGTGTGAGACCTTAAACAAAAAAGTATGAGCCAGGGACAGTGGAATAGATGTTTGGAAGCAAAGCCCATTTGGAAAGAATAGTGATGAAGGTTTTTTGGTTTTTGTTGTTGTTGTTAGTGCTGGGAATCAAACTCAGGGCCTTGCATGTGCTAGGCAAGCGTTCTTCCCCTGAGCTACATTCCAGCTTCTGGTGAGTGTTTTTAAATTAAATTGAGTTTGGGGTTATAGCAACTAGCATGAAGAAATATCCAGTAAATGCTGAACTTGTATAGCCTTTGTGAGAGAGCAAAATTCAGGAAAAATGTTCGACAGATACTAACACAGAATTGATGTCTGATTCTGAGAGAGTACATAAAAGGGGGAGCTTCTAGAGGGAAACACCAAGCCTTGGAAAATGGCCATCTTGACAGAGAGAATAGTTGGCAAAAGAAGGAAAATTCATAGATGCAGGAAAAGGATAAGAACAACATAGAATTATGGGAGCAAAAGAAGAGAAAGTTTTGAGGAAATTTTAAGCTGAAATGGCAGTATTCTAAATATAGACTAGGGACATAAGAATTAAGATGTGTTATGTGCATGTATCAACGACATGTGGTCACAATGCATGCAATCTTGTACTGTCAACATGTACTAATAAAAACAGGCATTAAAAGGAAAAGATACAGAACAAAAATAAAAGCATTGTAGGTCTCAAAAAAATAGAGAATACTGGGAAGTGCCATCAATGACGTTTGAGATACATATTTTAAATAGAACTTTCAGGAATAAGAGGGATATGAACTTAATAGCAGGAAGAAAGATTTTGTTCCAGGTATTGAGGTAGCCTAAACAATGGTTGGAAAAAACACTTATTCATCGGCAAAGTAAAATAAAGATATTTTTAAATGTCCTTTAAAAAAAAAACGTTTAAAATATTTCACTCATATACCTTTAAGGACATAGAATAAACTTCTATTCACTGAAGGTATAAAATAGTTTTTGGTTGTTGTTTTTGTTTTTTTTTTTTTTTTTTTTGGTACCAGGGATCAAACTCACAACCTTGCGCTTGCCAGGCAGGCACTTGTGCCACTGAGCTAAACCCCCGGCCCCTATAAAATAATTCTTTTTTTTTTTTTTTTTTTTTTTGTCTTTTTCATTTTTATTGGTACCAGGGATTGAACTCAGGACCACCTGCTTGCAAGGCAGGTGCTTACGCCACTGAGCTAAATCCCCAGCCCTATAAAATAATTCTTTAAAAATTGATGCTATTATAACCAGTTAGGAGAAGAAAAAGATGTGGATAAGAAAAGATTCCAGTTATATATTCCAAAATATATATATATTAAGCTTATATTTTAAAAATCTAATAAATATACAAATTATATATTAAATCTTATATATTAAATCTTACATATTTTTGTTTTTTAAAATTTTCAGTTGAAATAGAAAGGAACTTATAGTTACAGAGATTTATGCTATGCTTAAAGCAGAGACTGAAAAGAAATAACTTCAAAAATTCATATATGAACTTTTAAGTTATAATTTTATGAGTATAGGTACAAACAGAAACAATACTCAACCATTACATCAATAGTTCAAGCTAATTGATTATAAGATAGTCTTTGTGAAAATAGTAGAGGATAATAGCCCTTGTAGTACAGGGCTGACATTATTATTTTGTAAGCTGGTATCTAAAGAACTGAAATAGTTTACAAGTTATTCTTTGAAATGTATTTATTATCTCCTCCATTTCCAACAAATTACACATAAAATTGCAATTTTATTTCTCTCCTCAGTTGAATTCAAGGAGAATTTATTTAAATAATGTGGTGATTAGGTTTTTTTTTTCTTTTTTTTTGCCCCGGGGATTGAACTCACAACCTGGCGCTTGCCAGACAGGCACTTAGGCCACTGAGCTAGATCCCCAGTCCCATGCTGTGATTAATGTATATGTTCAGAAGACATATCTTTCACTAAGACTGTGAGAAATAAATTTTGAAGGAGGCCCTAATATCAGGGAAGAGCCTTGTAATCACTCTTCTGTATAGGTTGGGTCTTACTTGGTCATTAATTGGGAAACTTATATGCAGTGGGAATAATTGGATGCCAGAATAGAAGGAACCAGATGATATCAACGGCCAAAGGCAGTGTCACTGGACAGCAGAGTCAGTGAAGCAGTCAGAATAATCTGACTTGTGTGGACTTACAGCATTGATTGGTGTTTGTACAAGTATAAGAGTAGGAACCCTACTGAATTTTTTCTTGATCTGTACAAGAGGAAAATTATAACTCAAGAGAGCAAATGTCTCACTTGAATCAAAGAAGCAGAGATTGTATGGTTTCTCAATCAATTCCCAGACTTGAACTAATTTACAGACTCAAATGAAGATAGGATCGGTCTCCTTAAAGAAAGACCCTTATACACTGCCAAGATGTCTCTATTATTAACCTTTCTCTCAGCCTTCCCAAAAGGAGCTATGGCATTTTAACAGAGGAACTGGGATGAAGGAAATAATAAAATCTTTCAACAACTACTAGACTCTAACTCTGAACCAACACTAACCCCAGGAAATCCAAAATTTTATTGTGGTTCACTAGTCAAAGTAGTGGCTTATGGAGATCAGGCAATCAGTGTGTTTTACACCAGGTTCATCTCACAGTGGGTCCATTGGGTTCCAAACGCACACTGTGGCAGTTTTACAGTTCTGGAGCACATAATTGAAATAAATATACTAAGCAACTGAAAGAATCCTCAGCTTTTATTTGTGGAGCAAGGGCCATTATGGAGACAAAAAGCCAAGTGAAAGCCACTAGCATGGTTGCTTCCTAAGAAAATAGTAAACCCAAAGCACTACCATGTTCCTAGAGGGTTTGCAGAGATTAGTGCAACCAAGGAAAACTTGAAAGATACAGGAGTGGTAATTCCCACCACACTGCCATTCAGCTCTTTTTCTTGGCCTGTGCAGAAGACAGGGATCTTGGACACTGATGATTGTCTAAGTTTAACCAGGTGGGACAGCTGTTGTACCAAATGTGGTTTTGTCACTTGAGCAGATTAATACATCTTGGCACCTGGTGTGTATCTACTAATCTGGTGAATGCCTTTTTATATCTATTTGTCAGTAAGGACCGCTAAAAGTAAATCGTATGGCAAGTCCAGCAATACACCCCACTGTACTTGCCTAGGGGGTGTATCAGCTCCCCAGCTTTATGTCATGTTTGATTTGGTTTGGTTTTGAGGCAGGGTCTCACTACATAGTCCAGGCAGACCTCAGACTCATGCCCTAGCCTCCCAAGGGCTGGGATTATGTCGCAATTAGTTTGCAGGGATCTTGGTAGTCTTTCTGTGCTGCAAGACATAACATACCAGTAGAGCCAATGGTGTCATTTCTGTGACTACTGCCTGTTAGCAGCTAAATGTCAACTTTGTGCTAAACATTTATGTCTGTAGATCATCATGCTCACATAATCTTCACATCCTGCTCGCTTCAAGCTTTGAAGTGTATAGTACCCCAAACTTATATCTTATTACTTACTGCTTTTTACAAATAAGAGAACCAGCAGAGGACCAATTCAGTAACTTGAGCATGGGCACAGACTAGGAAGAAGAGCTTGAATTTGAATCCACTCAGCCTGTCATGGGCTTTTTCAATTTATATAGGAAAGCTGTAGCCTTCTCCTTTTCAGCTTGCATAAATTAAAATATTTGTACTCAACATGAAATAAAGGGAGCAAGGAAAAAAAACATTTTAATTACAGTACTGAGGGATTGAACCCAGCCTCTTCGTACTGAGATACATCTCCAGCCCTTTTTATTTTTCTAATTTTGGGACACAGTCTTACTAAGTTGCCTGAGCTACACTTGAACTTGGAACCCTCCTACCTCAGCCTCTCAGGGTGCTGGGATTATATAGGCTTGAGCTACCTGCCTGGCTAGGAGAATAATTTTAAAAGAGTGTGGGGGCTTATAATGTAGCCCAGTGGTAGAGTGCGTAGCACTTGCATGGGCCTTGCATAGCACACGCAGTGGCCTGGCTTCAGTCCCCAGCACCAGCATAAAAAGAGTCAAGGTTTCACTTTCAGTTCCTGGGTATGTTTTTTTAATGTGTCTGTCTTTATACAAAGACTGTGACTTAATTTTTTCATGTCACATGTCCCCTACATGCGTGTTAGCTTCATCTTTTTTCAACATTAACAGTATTTTGCCCTATTGCTAGAGGAAGACTAGCTATGTTGGACTTACTTATAGAGAATGTCACTCTTTGGTTCAAGGCTCTGAATCTAGACCTACTTTTGGTCTAACATACAGACTAGAAACTAGCTGGGTTAACTGATTCTAGGTACTGTGTCTCCATTAGAAGCATATTAGGAAGATGTCACCACCTGTGGTAACATAGTTTTTAACTTGAGTCCCCACAAAAGAATACACAGAGCAACTAGATAGCAACATCAAGAACCCAAGGGCAGCTTTTACTAACATTAGTTTTAGGCCGTTCACACAAAATTCCCGAATATAAATGATATGATCAAACACTAAAGAGAATATTTAACTTTTTTTTAAAAATTATTGCAGTAAAAGATGCACTGCCATTAATTCCCCCTCATTTTTTATTTCATTTCTCTTGGCATTTGCTGAAGCAGTTTTAGAAGTCCTGCTTTATGAGTGTCTTAAATTGCTCTGTCGTGGCTGCCTTAATGTTCAGAATCAATTCAAAATATTTACCTTTCATGGTCATTATGACTTCGGGGAGTTCCATAGAGCCAAGTCTAGTGAATAAGGTAGATTCACAGTGCTATGACGCGTGTACATTATGTCTTTCTGTTGGATGGCATGATGCAGCAGCATTCACCATGCTTTTGATCACACCTTGTAAAGATACAAAAACGACTTCCAGGACTGCTTCAGAAAGCAGCAGGAGCAACGGGATAAGTGTGTTCAAAGCAGGGGAGAGCACCTTGAGAGGGCTTTATGGTAATGTGTCTTTCACTCTAAAAATTGTTTAAAATTTAAATATCCACTGTATATTTCAATCATACCTTATTATAAGAGTATTTCTCTTGGGCCAAGAAATGTTTGATAATCCTGGAACATCTTTTATACTACTATATTGAGGGGGATGTCAAAAGAACTCAAGTTGAAGAAGTTTATGTTAGCAAAAGATGAATTTCAATAATTACAACTTATTTTACCACGCTAGATGTATTTATGCCCTTGAATTCATAATGATATTTAAAAAGATAATTCATTATCTTTGGTAGATTAAAAGGACTCATTTCATTCAACTACAAAAAATAATTTTTTTTTTTTTTGTCTTTTTCATTTTTATCGGTACCGGGGATCGAACTCACAACCACCTGCTTGCAAGGCAGGTGCTTATGCCGCTGAGCTAAACCCCTAGCCCCTAAAAAATAATATTAATGTATATATTGATAAAGCATTAAAGGAACAGAATCAATAATTTATCCTGCTATTCCTAAAAGATTGTATCACTGAGTAATCAAGTAGTAGAGAAAGGGAACTAGATAGCTCTATAAATATATTTCAATTGATATATGGGAATGAAGTGGTAAAATTAAACAATTTTAATCCCAAAGCAGTCATACCATAACAAGAGAGATATCCAGACATCAAGCGCCTCCTGTAGTCTTCCCAAAGGATTCAAGTAGATGTCCAATTCAGTCTCTAGGCCCACCTGCCGAATCGTAGGCAATACAGAGGACAGAAGAACAGGTTAAATGGCACTAACGATACACAGTCAGCAAAGCCAGACTGTTGGAAATTCTACAGGTCGATAGTCCATGTTAATTGTAGAAAATGAAAGACATGGACGATGAACATACTGATTAAGAGACTTAAAAGACATTAATGGGGGAAGGGCTGGGGTAGAACCCAGAGCCTCATGCTAAGCACGAATAATACTGAGCTATATCCCCTCAGTTTCTTTTAATTGGACAAGACTAAATTATAGTACCTAGAGGTACACATTTAGGTAACACAGTCATACCAAAGGAAACAAAAGTCCAGGTGTTGCTTATTCACGGGAAGACAGGATTATGACTGGGAGGACGTAAGAAAGGGCATATGAGATGTCTACCACAGTTGACTTGAGTGGTTAGTAAGCCATATACCCTATTTGATTTTGTGAGTTTCTGCATCTGACTGTTAATTGTATCATAAAGAAGTGTTTTGTTTTGTTTTGTTTTGTTATTGGTACCGGAAATCAAACTCAGAACCTTGCACTTGCCAGGCAGGTACTGTGCTGCTGAGCTGTATGTCTGGCCCAAGAGTTTTTAAAACTATGTTACAGTTTATAAGAAGCTGAGCCTACATATGAAGATTTTTTTGTATGATAATTTTCCAACTCAACAGAGAACAAATGTAACTTTCAAAAAATTTATAAAAACTTGGGTAAAGTATGATGGTACAGGCCTATAATTCCAGCTATTAAGGAAACTAAGGCAGGAGGATTGCTAGTTTGTGACCAGCCTGGGTAGTTCACCAGGATGTCTCAAAATCAAAATTTTAGAAGGACTGGGAATGTATAGAACTCAGTAGTAGAGTATTTGCCTCTTGTGCACAAAGCCTTGGGTTCAATCCCTAGTATCATACATACCCATTAAAAAAGTAAAATAAAAAGCTAGAAAAGGCCTATAGAGTTATTCAACATTATGAGCTTTTTGTTATTGCATGTTATTTTTTATATGGCACCATATTATCCTAAGATTGTAGAAATAGTTCAGGAAATATCCCAGTATATTTTTTAATAGTATTTTTTTCATACTATAACAATAAAACTTGATCATTATAGAAAATTTACAGACACAAACTATAAACATGGAGCTGAGCATGGTGGCACATGCCTGTAATCCTGGCATTGGGGAGGCTGAGGTAGAAGGATCATTATGAGTTTGAGAATGGTCTGGATTACAGAGTGAGTTCAAGGCCAGCTTGAACTATGTAGCTGGATACTATCTGTATAAGCAAAACAGAAAGCGTATCTGTATAATCTATTATGGTCCCAAAGATAGCCATAAATAATACTTGGTTATATTTCCCTTTATATACTAATGTATTTTCATTAGGAAAATAGTTTTATACTGGGTTCTTTTTGAAGGTATTTTACTTACATTCAGTCTTTAGATAAAAGACGTGTAGAGTGTGATCCTCTCAAAAGTAGAATGCCTTAATGCATCCTTTTTCTTTTTCCATACTGGGGATTGAACCAGGTCTTTGCATTGAGCTTCATCCGCACGGTATTGCTAAGCCAGTAAACTGGCCAGACTGTGCTTGAACTTTCAGTCCTCTGGCCTCAGCCCTCTAAACTGCGGGAATCACAGGCATGTTGCCACCATGTCTAACTCAGTGATATTTCAGAAGCTTTTTCGTAGGTGGACTGCATCATGCAGCTGCCCGAATTTCCGGTGAGAATGTCTATAAGCATTTGAAGTATGAAGGTGGGATTCACCGAGTTCAGCGGATCCCTGAAGTGGGCCTGTCATCAAGAATGCAGCGGATTCACACTGGAACTATGTCAGTCATTGTCCTTCCTCAGCCAGATGAGGTAGCCGCACCAGGAGGCCTGGAACACTCCATATCACGGGGTATTGTGCGGAGAAGCTTTAGCTCCTGGGAAAATCTCCTGTCTGTGCTTACCAATTGGACTGCATAGTCTCTTTCGTTTATCAGTACTTTTTGCAGTATATGATTACATTCATCGCGGGGAGTTGGTACGCATGCATTCCTTTCATTTCCTCTTTCCCTCCCCCTCCATTTATCCCTTAGGCCCCTTCCTTGACGCTAAAGATCTATCTTAAGAAAACAGTGAATTCCACTGATACTATTTCAAAGTCTGTGTCTGTGTCTGTGTGGAGTCTGTATCCTGCTGGTTGACTGCAGATACCTTCCTATGTTTTCTTTGCTGTACTCTTGAGTTTTTAAACATCAGAAAGTTGAAAAAATACCGCAAGAAAAACTTACAGACTTCACCTGGTATCAGCAGTTATGTCTTCTCACATGTGCTGATTCCTATGTATTATATGTATGTGTATGTATATATATATATATATATAAATAAATGTCCTTTAAAGGGTATAGGTTGTCACTTTCATAAGCTATCCCTTTGTCCTTTATACATATGGTATAACATGAGACTTTACTGTTCAAATCTTCCACATACATATCTCAAGAATAAGAATATCTGAGCCAGACATGGTGGCACACTCCTGTAATCCCAGCATTCTGGAGGCTGAGGCAGGCAGATCATTTCAAATTTGAGACCAGCCTGGACTACAGAGTGAGTTCAAGCCTGAACCTCATAGTGAGAGCCGGTCTCAAAAAGACAAAAATAAATAAATAAATAAATAAATAAATAAAATAAAGAATATTCTTCTGTGTAGTGTTATCTATGAACATTGACCATAATTGTATAATATTATCCAATATCTAATTGATTTTATGGTTTTCTCAATCCAAAAGTGTTTTCATGGTTGTGTGTGTGCGTGTGTGTGTGTATTGGGGATCAAACAACCTCACACTTGCCAACCAGGTGTTTGTGCTGCTGAGGTGAAGCCCCAGCCCTGTCTTTTGTTTTTGTGTTTGTGTATGTGAATGTGGTTTTGTTGTTGTGATGCTCAGAATTGAACCTAGGCCTTTGCACTGAGCTCCATCCCAGGCTTTGTTTGTTTGGGTTTTTTGTTTTGTTGAGGGTCTCACTATGTAGTCTAGACTGGCCTTGACTGCTTGCAGTCACAGTCCTCCTGCCTCAGTCTCCCAGTGCTGGGACACCATATCTGGCCTCAGCTCAGTTTTTTACTTTTTATTTTGAGACATAATCTTCCTAAGTTGCTCAGGCGGGGCTCAAACTTGCAATCCTCCTGCCTCCTGGTGGCTCTCAAATGCTGGGATTATAGAACTGCACTACCATTCCCACCTCAATTCACAGCTTTTGAGCAAGAATATTTCATAGTTGCTATGAGTCACGTTGCTTCTGGGGCACATAATATCACATTGTTCCACCTTTTTCATGAGGCTTAGCTTGAGCATTTAGATAAGGTGGTGACCAAAACAAATCAGCCTTGTACAGGAAGGTGTGTCATCTCCTTTTCAAATACGAAGTAATCGCACAGTACACATATCCTGTCCACAGTAACCTTCCATTCTTTGGCTTTTTGTACCAGGAATTGATCTCAGGACTTGCTTGCCAGGCAGGTGCCGTGCTGCTGGGCTGTGTCTCTGGCCCTATCATGGTTTTGACATTCACTGATCCCCTCAAGAATCAGTTGTTCGGGGTCTCAAAATGGTGTTTCTCTGTCATCCGTCCTATGTTTATTAACGGGCACCCTTCTGTACAGAGCTGCTTCCTTACTGCTGTCTCTTGCCTCCCGCTACACTTTCTCTTTACTTGATGTCATCATAAACTCACATTAAGTTGTATATACTGAGTTTATTATATTTTGGATTTATGTTTTAATCCAACAAGTTATAATCATTATTCTTTTTCCTGCTCAAATTGCCCCAAACTTGGCTGATGCTATCATTTTTAGGGTGACCTCTCTCCTTTACCGTCACCAGTATTTGATTCTTGCTTTCTGGAACAGTTAGCTACCCCAGGCCCATCTCGTATTCTCCTAGCTCAGACCTGGAGTCAGCCAGTCTCGACCATGTCTCTCAGCCTGGAGTCAGTTGGATATACCCAGAAATGAGGATTTGAGTACTAGAGACATGCTCATTGTTACTAAGGTATCCCTACTTTTAGACTAAGAATCATGTTATATAATCAGTTTCATATTAACAGTTCAAATTCAGCATTACAGAGATTTTTCTTTTCATTTGCTTGCATTTTATGTCTTTTCACTTAAGTTTAAAAATCTTATAATTATTTTAATATATTTATTTGTTATTATAAAAGTATTTTCAAAATTATAACACCAACATTACTAATAGTAAATTATTGCATCTTTTTTGGGAGGGGTCTATTTTGAGACAGGTTTTGCTATGCAGTTCAGTCTGGCTTGAGCTCACATTGTAACCCAGGCTGGTCTTGAACTCACAGTGATCCTCCCGCCTCAGCCTCCTGAGTACTGGGACTATAGGCATGTGCTTCCACGTTACATAATGTTTAAGGTTTTTGTCCGTAGAATATATGTACAGTCAGGGCACTCTTGACTGAAATGAAGGGTTTATGGTTCTTTCTTTGGTGTAAGTTATTTCTTTAATTAATCTAATTCTTATTCAGTTTATTTGAAAAAAATTCTCAAAATAAATTTAATATTAAAATATTCAACTTAGGTTTGTTGGCACCCAAGAGAGACTAAGGGAGGAGAACTGCAAGTTCAAGGTCAGCCTGTCCTAAAAGGGGGGAATTCAGAGCCAGAGGGGCCTATATAGTAACTTTGTCTCCAAAAATAAAAAGTACGCATAGAATGTAGAATTGACTTATGCTGTATCTTTTATTCCAGGTAGATGTAAAAGTGGACCCCAGGGATTTGCGCATAGATACATTTCGAGCCAAAGGAGCAGGAGGGCAGCATGTGAATACCACAGACAGTGCTGTTCGGCTTGTCCATATCCCCACAGGTACACACGTCCCTTTGGTTTTGTGCCTTTGCCTTTTTTTCGCATATTCTGCATTTGGAAGGAAGGCGCTCTGTGCTGATGTTTAGTTAGTTCCTTGTACAGAATCCTAAATTGATGCTGAGATGGTGGGTCTGCCATCTCTGCTGTGTTTGTGGTCTCTTTTTGGAAATGGTGCAGCTGGTGAGCAGATGCTCAGAGAACCTGCTTAGGAATGCTGGATGGGAGGAGCAGTAGAGGGCTCCAGCCCAAATTCAGATGCAACACAGAAGCAGTGTTGGACCTGGCCCTGCTGTGGCCTTTTGTCACCTTGTAGTGGACGGCTAGCTGCATTGTCAGTTAGGCTCTGCGGTTATTTTGAATATTGCTAATTTTGATATACTGTGAGACAGTTTTCCAGTCCTTAATGTGTTTGCTTTTGTTTCTTTAAAACAGAGACTCACTACATAGTTCAGGCTAGTCTTGAACTCACTATGTAACCCAGGCTGGCTTCACACTCACGGTGACCCTTTTCCCTCAGCCATCCAAGTGCTAGGATTGAGGCACACACCTCATCAGACTACGATATGTGCTGACAGAGTGCGTCATTAGACAGTTTCATCACCGTGAGGGACCTAGAGGTGTTCACACGCAAAGATGGTTATGACGTCAGTAGGTGATACAGTTTTACAGATGTGCAGCCTGTCCTTGACCAGAAGGTTGCTATGTGTACATTGACAGGATTTCTAATATTTTTCAGAGTAAACTTTTAACTTTCACTTCTACTTTAGATTAGTTTTTATGTTACATGTATGTGGGTGTTTTTGATTTTATTTTTTGTTGTTGTTTTCATACAGGGCTTTGCTATGCAGTTAGGCTGGACTTCAACTCTTTACAAGGTTAGACTCCAACTTGTGGCAGTCCTGCCTCAGCCCGCTGAGTGCCGGGACTATAGACGTGTGCCACCGTGCCCAGCCCATATATGTGGTTTTTAAATCCAATAGTAAACTTCTATCCCCAAAAACAACTTCATGGATCATTTCTACTTCTTTCTCTTTCCTCAACCCTAAATTCTTGTTTCCTACAGGAAACCTCAGTAAATTCTTTTAGCTATTTCTTCTCATAACTACAGTATTTCTAAATAACAAGCATATAGTCTCTTATGATCAATTAATAATCGAGACTATAATTTGAATTGAATTAGTAGATGAAAATTTTGGTTCTTTAGTCCCCTCTTTTGCAAGTATTTATGCTTTGCAAAATTAATTTTCATTGTTTTCATATAAATGAGCAAGTAAGTAGTGTTGGCTGCTGAGCCAAGGAGTATAGTTTCTTCCTCTAGAAGTAATAATCACCTTATTATTTACATTTGCCTATGTCTCGTTTTGTCTTGTCCTGTTTTGTGCTGTTCTTTGAGGGTCTCGCTGTGTTCCAGGCATACCTCGAATTTACTGCGCATCCCAGACGGTCTCGTACTCCCGGCTCTCCGGCCGTGGTCTTCTGAGTACCGGAATTACAGGCGTGTGCTGCCATGGCTGGCTGTTTGCTTTCTTTTCTTTGACTGAAGCTTCTCTGCATCTTTCGAAGTCTCTGTGAAATGAAATTGATCTATTTTTTCCAAGTCCAGAGGTTTCCAGAGACTCCATCATCTTGGTCCCAACTGGACTAGTTGCTCTCTAAGGCACTGCCAGAGATTTTCCTGTTGATTTCATTTCTGTTCTCTGTTGGATCTTCCTATCCTCTGAACTCTTTATCATCTCCTTTTAGTTTATTTTCATTTTAGTTAAACTCATCTTTAAGTAGCTTCCTAAGAAAACCAAGATATAAACATTTTGAGACATCATATACCTGAAAATAGCTTTATTTTAACGTCATATTTCATTGATCTTGGATCCTTGTCAAGTCATTTTTGCTTGTAACACTTAAGTCATTTTCCTTTGTTGTATTTGTTGGTTTTAATCTGGTGACTCATGTTTTTTTAGTTCTGAATTTCTTTTTTCACTGAGAATTCAACCCAGAGCCTCTAAGCCACATCCCCATCCCTTTTTGATTTTTGAGACAGGGTCTCATTAAGTCACTCAGTTGCCCAGGCTCAAACTTTTGATCTCTTGCCTCAGCCTCCCAGAGTGGGGTTACAGATGTATGGCATCACACTTGATTTCTCAGTAATTACTTGCTGGCTTTGCCTTACCATGTGGTGACCTCCACCATGGGATCATGCAGCAATTAACCCTTTATCTGATCTTGGACTTTCCAGCCTCCAAAGCCATGTGCCAAAATAGATAGTAGTATATCAAGTTATTTTTAAAACATCAGGGGTGTGTGTGATGAAGGGGAGAGGCTGAATATTCCTTGAGTAGACAGAGAATGGAGCTGGCAGCAGGTTTCTCTTTGTTAAGCTGCAGAAATCCCTGAACAAATTAACAGGAAGAAGAACTCGGGGAACAAAGCAAGTGCGATATTATGTGCTGCTTTCACCCTGCTCATCTGAAGTCCTACTGTATCTCATTCATCGATTAGAGTCTAAGCAGTCACCTACAGCTATTACCATTAGTTTCTGAATTGTGCTAAATCTGTTTTTAACCTTGTGTGTGATCTTTCTCTGATTAACTTTCCTCCCCCCGCCCCCCCCCACCATACTTTAGTTTAGTCTATGAACTCACTATGCAGCCAGGCTGGCCTCAAATTTGCAGTGCCTCAGCCTCTGAACGAGGGATTCCAGGCATGTGCCACCATGCCCAGCAACCTTTCCTCTGTAAAAAGCCCCTTAGTTACACCTCAGTCAGTCCTGCTGTGGCTGCAGTTTACCTTGGGTCTCTGTTGTTTTTCAGGGTTAGTAGTAGAATGCCAACAAGAACGATCACAGTTGAAAAATAAAGAAATAGCTCTGCGTGTGTTAAGAGCCAGACTCTACCAGCAGATTATTGAGAGAGACAAGTGTCAGCAACAAAGTGCTAGAAAACTTCAGGTAAGACTTACGTAGTGTAATAATTTAAATGCTCTGCACAGAAAGTCACCACTTTACAACTGGGCATGGTGGTGTATGCCTGTAATCTCAGCACTTGGGAGGCTAAGGCAGGAGGATCACTGCAAATTCGAGGCCAGCTTGTAATACAGAGAAAGACCCTGTCTCAAAAAGAAAGAGAGCCAGAGGTACAGCTCAGTGACACAAGTGACTGCCTGGTAAAGTGTGAGGTTGTGACTTCAGTTCCATGTACCAAAAAAAAAGAGAGAAAGAGATCACCATTTTATTTTTACTTATTTAAGACAGGGTATCTGTATATACTCCAGGCTGGCCTTAAACTCACTATGGAACCCCAGCTAAGATCGAATTTATGGTGATCCTCCCACAACAAGCTCCCAAAATGTCACTGTTTTATGTAGAAAATAGTGTTTACTTTGAGTGAATGGAAATATCTTTAGAGACTAGAAGAGCATGTTTATATGTAAATTAGCAGTGCTTTATATGCCTGTGGACAGATGGATCATAATTGAATTTAGGTATGCCAGTGTGCAAATGAGTAAATGAGACCTGGATAGGCAAAATTATTTCTCAGTTATTTTCTTCAAGTGCTTACATAACTGTCTTAAGAGGAAAATTGGTAGAGGTTTTTTTTTTTTTGGTACCAGGAATCAAACTCAGGACCTTGTGCTTGCCAGGCAGACACTGTGCCATTGAGCTATATCCCCCACCCAGAATTGGTTTTAAAGATAAATAATCTAGGGCTAGGTTTGATGATACATACTTATGATTCCAGCACTCAGGATGCTGAGGCAGGAAGATCTTGAATTTAAGGCCAGCCTGGACTACAAATAGCAAGACTTTCTCTGAAAAAAAGTTTTTTCTTTAGAAATTTATATTTTGAGATGTTTAAAAAAGACATATGCTTTTATTGTAACTCTCTGGATCAAATATGAACAGCACTGCGAAAATGAGGGGATTGTGATTGCTAGTAACGGAGTAAGGAATAGGAGGAGGATTGACAGATCACTGTGTACCTGTTAGTACTTTTTGAAATTTGTACAATGTACTACATTTATGCTACAATTTATTCAAATAAGTGGATAAATTCTATGTAAACTGAATAAATATTGTTAAGTAAAATACTAAATTCTGAAAGTAAACTTTCTCTGAGAGAATCTAGAAGAGAAAGTAGAACTCAAGGGAAACTGCTTTGTGTCATCTGCAGGTAGATGTGGCTCAGTAAACCCAGGTTAGAAGAGTTTGTGGCCTTTTAGGTAATGAGTTGCAAAAATCTAAATACTATGTTAAAGCTTTTGATCTATATATGTCTAAGTCTTTTCATATGTTGGTCTTTCTGGCTTTCTTTACCCACATTCTAACCTGCAGATCACAAAAGTGGTGGGGTAAATAATGTTAGTACTCTGTGTGGTAATCCCAGATTGTGGAGCTGCATCACTATATAATTTGCAGATAGAAATGCTCATTTACAGTACTATGGTGAGTAAGTGATAAATGCTGTGGATTCTGCCACGTTTGAACTAATGAAAGGCATGAGTATTTTTTGTCTTTTAACATTATGGCACTAGAGGCTCCACATAGTGATTTTTTAAATATTTAAGATTGACCTTATGCAAATTGTATGTATCCATTCTTTAGGAGTCTGATTTGAAGAACCAAAAACGATCACCCTACCTCTCAAATCCCTTGGCCTCTTGACTAAACTATTTTAGTAGGGATTTCCAAGGCTCAGAACATTTCTTCAGCCAGTATGTGTAGGGCTTTTATCCAGAAAGCACGATGCCTGGTTCTCACCTCGCTGCACTTATCACCTGGAGGTCTTTGTAGGCGCCTCTCTGCCCAGATCTGGGGTTCTGGTCTGACTGCTCAGGGGTGGAATCCTGGTTGGTAATGTACTTTGCAATAATAGTCTCCAAACCTGACTGTCAGAATAGATGCCCTGAGAATGTTTCAAGAATTAGTAATTTTTAAAAATTTTCCTGATGATCAAGAATTTAGTTTCATATTGTTTGCCTTATGGTTTACAAAAATGAATTCTAAAAATGTCTTTTTTTAATCTTAAAAGGTAAAGGTAAGGGACTAGGTGTGTGGTCAGTGATACTGTACTGGCTAGAAAATGCAAGACCCGGGGTTGGATCCCCAATACCAGAAAAAAAAGCAAAGGTAATTTGATTAAGAGAGAATGTTGAAAATATCATATGCTAGGGAGATGAGCAGATTCAATAGAATGTAGGTAACCATACTATGAGATAAACTGTGGTGTATCATGAAGAAAACTTCAAGTGCAAAAGGTTTCAAAGGAGGGATTGAATATATTTCAGTTACCCCAATCACAAGGGAAGAGATGTTAGGAAAGGCATATTGCATGAGGTGATTTTTTTCTAGTAAAAGGGAATCAAACAAAGGGGCACTTCACCACTGAGCTGTATTCCAAGTGCTTCTAAACTGTTTCGGCTAGCCTTGAACTTTTGATCCTCCTAAGTAAGCCTCTTGAGTAGATAGGATTACAGGCATAGCCACTGCACCCAGCTGATACTTTGTAGAATGAGTAGGTGTACACATAAAAATGAGGTGCTGTCCTAAGTGGCATTACAGAGGATTCTGTCACATAATTTTGAGAAATAGCATTGGGAGGGTTTCCTATATTAGGAAGTACCATGAACATTCAGTTGCATCTGCTTAGTAGACAAAAAAGAACCAAAGAAAACTTACTCAGAAAATTGGTTCAAGGCCGGGCATGGTGGTGCACACCTATAATCCCAGCACTCAGAGGCTGAGGAGGATCACCATGAGTTCAGGGCCAGCCTAGGCTACATAGTGCATTTAAGGCCAGCCAGATCTACATAGTGAGACCTGTCTCCAAAAAAAGAAAGAAAAGAAAAAAATAGGAAGAGAAAACTGAGCCGTAGAAACATGAAACAAAGTAGCACAATGTGAGGAGAAAAATTAAAGCTTTTTCTGGAGATCCTTGCAGGAATGTGAGTGAAAACACTGATAGTAGAAATACAAAAACCAGAATAAAAGATTGTTGCTACCGACTGGAAATGACAGAGAATGAATTATGCAGAGCACAAGAGGGAGAACTGAATGATTGAGGTAGAAAAAGGATTAATATGGTTTTAAAATTTGGAATTTGAAATATTAATAGACATTTGTTCGCATTCTGTGTGTAAAGTCTACAAACCTGTAGTCTTGTTGCGGTTGCTGTTGTTTGAGAGGTGCAGAAGATGGAACTGAGCTACCTCACTAACCCTAAACCTGTGGTCTTAACGTTAAATCTGCCTGCTTTTGCCTGGTTCACTTTGTAACTTCTTTTTAAAATAAATACCTAAGCTATTAAAGTAGGAAAGTCATTTACCAATACTTTTTCCATTGTGATGAAAGTTACTAAAATATGAATTGCTGTTTGTTATGCCACAGGTGGGAACCAGAGCCCAGTCAGAGAGAATTCGGACGTATAATTTCACCCAGGATAGAGTCACTGACCACAGGATAGCATATGAAGTCCGTGGCATTAAGGTAATATTAGGACTGTTCGTAATGCCCTGAAAAGGAAATTACGAAAGGTGTGCACCCCAGGAGCATTTAGAAGTCTGCCTGCTGTCACATGCTGATGGGGAAGGGACACTGTCAAATTTATTTTAACATTAAGCTACCTAAACCCTACGTACCCAGGACTTCTAACATGAATACATTAATGAGAAAGCACAGAAAAACTCCCTGCTGCCACTGAAGAGGAAAATGAACTGATTCCCATAAAGAATTATGTGGAAAAGGCAGAAAGTTTTGATCCTTTTCCTTGGTTCATGTGATAATTCTTTTACTTGATTCTGACTCATTCTGTACTCAGAGTAAAAGTCTAAAGGGAAATGTCTTTTTTAATAACTTTATCAATTTCAGAATATCTTACGCCACTTCTCGCACAGGAACATAGCAGCTGTGTTGAAAAGGAGAAAATATTTGCTAAGTTCCCTTTCCTCAGGAAACACGCAGTGTTAACCAAACATGTTTGGCCACATTCTTTTTTTTTTTTTTTTTTTTTTTTTTGTCTTTGTCCTTTTTATCGGTACCAGGGATCGAACTCATGACTGCCTGCTTGCAAGGCAGGCGCTTATGCTGCTGAGCTAAATCCCCAGCCCTTTGGCCACATTCTTTCTGAAATTTTTGTCCCATTTGAAGTGTGAAGCTTAGGGCTTTCAGCCTTGTACATCACTGCAGTCACCTGCACAGTGTTTTCGTTACCTCAAGAGAAGTTCCACCCCTCAGCCTCATCCTTCACCCCACCCCAGGCAACCACCAGTCTGGACATTTCATTTAAATGGAACCAAATCACATGTATAGTCTTTCCTGTCCAACTTGTTTATATCATATTATTTTGGTTGTTTGTAGTGGTGACAGTTTTCCAAAAACAGTCACCTGTAATATTTTTTAATGGGTTTATAGGTACATTTGGCTATTTTACTTGTGAAACAGAGGCAAAGTAACTGCCTTTTTTTTTTTTTTTTTTTTTGGTACAGGGGATCGAACTCATGGCCTTGTGCTTGATAGGCTGGCATTATGCCACTCTGCTATATCCCCCTAAATGCCTGTAACTGGCTTTTATAGCTATAAAATACCTGATGTCAACCTAAGTACTAATTTTGTTATTAATTAGCATGACAGACTTAGAAAAAATAAAGAAAATTATAGTAGTATGTTCCAGTAATCACTGACCAGCCTATTGGAAAGAAGGGAAACATTTCATGTTAGTGAAAAGAAAGTTTGAAGACACCATGGAAAAATGTGTAGTAATGAAACGTTATAATCTGTTGAAGTGGTAAGTAGAAGGATGGGGAAAGAGGGTGCTGATCAAAAGTGCGAAGCTTCCATTGGATAGGAGTGCTGTGCTCCAGGGGTTTACTGCGTGGAAGAGTTACTATAGTAAGTCATTCATTGTATATTTTTAAATTACTGTAAGTGTAGATTTCAAATGTTTACCACAAAAACAGTGATGTTTGTAAGCTTATGTGTTTGTTGATTAGTCTGATTTGATCATTTCATATTATAGACTATATAGCAGAACATCAAAGTGTACACTATAAATATGTGCAATTATGGTTAAGTAAAATTTTTAAAATCTAGAGGGATGTGATGGCACGTGTCTAATCCCATCAATTCAGGAGGCTGAGGAAGGAGTGTCATGAGTTCAAGGCCAGCCTGAACAACCTAGTGAGACCCTGTGTCTCAGAATTGAAGGAGGACTGGCTACATAGCTCAGGGGCAGAGCACTGGCCTAGTATTACACGGTTCTAAGTGCAGGCTCTAACACTGGAAGGGAAATCTGCATGAAGAACAGCAAAGAGGCCAGCAGGAGTGAATAATTTAGGAGGAGATTATTACAGATGACGTTAGAAGAGCAGTAAGGGCCACAGCATCACGCAGTGGCCTTTGGACAGACAAGAGGTGAATAGGAAGAAAGTAAGCACCAAGGAGACCTCCGGCTGTGTTCAGTTTTATCCTGTAGTTTTAGTGGTCTATCGTTGCTGTGAATAACTGTGAAGAAATTAAATTTTCTTCATTTCTAACCATCAGGTGTTTAAGTCAGCTTTCTGTAACAAATAACTGAGATAAATTACTTAAAAGGGGGAGGCGTATTTTGGCTCAGTTTTAGCAACGAAGGCTGGGTGGGAAGTGCTGATTGGCCTCACTGCCTTGGGCCTGTACGGGCAGAGCAGTCGTGGAAGTGCATGGCAAACAAGGCCACTGACTTCATAGCCGGGAAGCAAAGAGAGAGAGCCAGTGTCCCAGAGCCCCTCCAAGCAGGCACGTCCCCAGGGACCCAAGGCCTCCACCCCAAGGTCTCTACACCTTTAGGCTAAATTGAGGACTGAGCATTTAACACCTGAACCTTTGGGGGACATTCTAGCTCAGAACTATAGCATAATGTCTATAACAACTCCTTCTTTTACCAGGAATTTTTATGTGGCGAGAAGTACCTGGATCAGCTAATTCAGAGACTGCTTCAATCAGCTGATGAAGAAGCCATTGTTGAACTTCTGGATGAAAACCTTAAATCAGCAAAATAAATCACCTGATTTATTATTTATTATTATATAAATGGAATGGGCCTATAAAGAAACAAATCAAGACATTGAAATATTTATGAATTTTCATAAATAATGCTATAAATATATATATATATTTAAATGAATCAAAGTCACATTTCTCGACTTGAGGTTTTATTTTCTGATTTAATAAACAATGCAGGGGCTGGGGATTTAGCTCAGCGGCATAAGCACCTGCCTTGCAAGCAGGCGGTCGTGAGTTCGATCCCCGGTACCGATAAAAATGAAAAAGCCAAAAAAAATAAAAAATAAAAAAATAAACAATGCAAATTTTTTGTTATTTGAAACTCAGGCTAATTTCAAGCTTAACATCCTCCTGTCTCAACCTCTTGAGTGCTGGGGATACACTACTACTTATAAATTAAACATTTTTCATTTACTATTTCAGGAAAATGTAAATTTTAAGATATAAAATTTAAACGGTTTATAAATTCCTCACTTAAGAGCAGAGACAGTACAGTGGTCCCTCAGTGCACAAACTTAATTTATCCAACGATTCTGGAAAAGATGGCCAATTCGGTAGCCAGGCCTGTGTTCCTCACCTAATGCAGAGTTCACAAACAGAAGCAAAATTTTGCCAAATGCTTTTGTTTATGAACAAAATACTTTGCAAACAAAAGCATCTTTGAACTGAGGTACCACTGTATAGGTACTATTGATCATGTCAAAGTTAAGACTTACTTTTTAATAAAAAATAAATTGTCAGAGAATGAGAAGGCTTAGAAGTATAACTATCTCTTGCAACTCAAGCATCTTTCTCAAGGACCTGAGTCATTCCTTTCAAAAGTAAGAATGAATACAGTCCTCTGTCTCTCAGTGTCTGTGGGCAGATGGAATCCTCAGTTAGGTCACAGCCAGCAGCAGACACAGCTGATCTCATCACGTTTACTCTGACCAGCCGTTTGTATGACTTCACTGACTTTGCTGAACTCCTCTTTCCTCTCCCTCTGTTCCCTTTAAAATGCCAGTTTTCCTTAGGAAAAATCCCAGTGGAGCTCATCTTTCCTCTCTTACTAGTAGTTGTATTTTATCTTTCTAGTCAGCTATGTTTATCTTGACAGTCTGGTCACTAACATGGTAGAGGTGCATGTTTTTCTTATAATCAGCATATATCTGTGTGATAACACTCTGACATCATGTAAACATTGATTCCTTACAGTGGTAGGCAACTACTGAGATGGCCCCAGAGACCCTTATTGGCATTCAAGATCCTGTGTGATCTCCCTTTAAGTGTAGATTAGATGGATTGACTCTCTTCTAACAAGCAGAATATATTAGAGGTGGTCAAATTGTGACTTCTCACACTGAGTTATAGAGATTATCTCTTCTGCAGAAGAGTCAAAAGTTGGGTATGGTGGCACATACCTATAATCCCAACACTCAGAAGGCTGAGGCAGGAGGATCACTGCAAATTCCAGGCCAGCCTGAATTACATAGCAACACCCTGTCTCAACAAAACAAAAGTGAAAAGAATGAGTCTTAAGAGGAAAAAGACAAAATGTTCAGCAAAAACAAGGGATACCCTCAGTGTCCATTTGCTCTGCCATGGACACACTGGTCTTAGTTACACTTCCCTTGCCTCTTTGCTCTTCTTTATCTTTGTTTTTCCTTAAGGCACATAATTTATTTGGAGGAAAAGGAATCAAAACAAATTGTGGAGCTGTGATCTTACAAAAATCTCAGATTGTATATTTCCTTAAACCTCTGTATACATACAGATCATTTGTTGTAATGCTGATTTTGGTCCAGTGGCTCAGGAAACTGATTCTGTGTTTTTAACAAGCTCCCTGCTTATGGCAGACTGCTGAAATATAGACAGTGCTTGAAATGGCAAAGATCTAGGACACCTGCTATTCAATTAGTGAGTACTTTCATTGTTCTATACTTTATTTTTTGTACAGTGAGACTCATTTTAATTCGTAATCCTACATTCAGGTGGTAGACCTGTTAGTTTGCCAGGGCACAAAGATAAACTGACATTTTTTGAACTGTCTGATAGAAGACTGTTAGGAAATAAACAGAAATGAAGGCTATCTTAGAATTTTTATAAAAAACCTGGAAAGGAAGTTTATTGCCTCATGCACATTCTCATACATATAGAATATCAACGAATACAACTTTTATTTCAAACCTGTATAGATATATCCTAAAACTGAAGCTGAAATTGAGTCAAGTGAAGTAGAGTCAACCAAACTACTACTGTCAGACAAAAATTATTTTGGAAGCTGAGCAGAGTGGCTCACACATGTGTGGAAGCTGAAGTAGGACGCTTACTGTGAGTTCAAGGTCAACTGGTTTATGAAATGAGTTTAAGGCCAGTCTGAACCATATAGTGAGACTCTGTCTCAAAAAAGAAAAAAAAAAAAGTTTTAGAAAGGCCCTGATTCTCACGTTGCAGCTAGGTGGGTAGAGTCAATACTGATTAGGGTCGCTTGCTTTGGGCTACAGGATACAGAGTTTCTGGGATGCTATTAGCATTCTATTTCTTGATCTGAGTGGAAGCTATACAAGTGTATTTATTTTGTGAGAATTTGTTGTATTTCCAATGATTTGTTCCCATGTATATACTGTACCTCAAAGGTTTTTAATAATAAAACGCAATTTAAATAGTGCATGTCAAGGCCAGGTGTAATAGTGTACACCTGTAATCCCAGCACTCAAGACACCAAGGCAGGAAGATCACACTGAGTTTGAGGCCAGCATGTGTTATATAATGAGCTCACCGCCACCCTGAATTTATACGGTGAGACCCTCTATCCAAAAAAAAAAAAAAAAACATGAAACACTTTCCAGGGGAGGAAAAGTAAGAACATTCTTATGGCAGCTAATGACTAAAGGCACAGAATAACTTAGAAATAAAGTTATGAGTAGTCTGTATAACCTATACTCAGAATAAAGTAATACGATGGGCCCAAGGTGTAGAGCTAACAGCACGTGATAGTGTGTGAACTGAGCTGGTTAGGATAGAGGGTAGAGCATTTGAGGAGGCAGTGATAGTGAATCATATGTAAACGGCACCAGGCTCACTGCTGGGGAGGTAAGTGAACAGCGCTGTGCTCCATGAGCCGCCTTACGAATCAGCTGGGTGAAGACCGCCATAAAAGCCGGGCAGTGAAATAAGACACACAAAAACTGGATGGGTGGGTTTAGACGGAATGTCCAAGATGACTGAACATCAACCCAAAGACACAGAGGCGCCTTTGAAAGCCAACCAGGAGCAGCATTCAGAAGTAAGGTGACAGGGCTGCCCCACAAAGAAGACATCGGGTCTGCAAAAGAAAACGTTCCCAAAATAAATTCAGCTCCTCAGAAAGCCCTGAGTAAATCACATTGTTGAAAATATTCACGAATAGAGATGAAATTAAAGATTGCTGAAGAACTAAACCCATGGCTTTTGATGGACCTAATTACTAGGGAAAAACAGGCCTTTCATTGTCTTCCCAAGAAGAGTCCTTTATACTACATTATGAAAAATACAAAAAAAAATAATAATAAGGAGCATGCTGATAATAAAGTTGTGACAGAGATGAAAGAATTCAGTCACCCAAGTTCCAAGTACATGCAACACCACTTCTACTGAGTAATTTGTATAAACGGGAGCAGTGTTCCCCCATACACCTTTAGAAGAGTCTTCCTGTATAAGCAAACCATTTGCGAGATGATTTTTCTATTTTAAAAATTTCCAGCCATGTTTACTGCCAGCCATGATAAAGGGGCTTCTCCCGAAGGAGTAATTTCTAGTACAAAAAGACGTACCGACCTGAAGAGTATAGTTCACTGAGTTTGGCAATGGCATTTGGTTATGGAGCCACTGCCCACACAGGAAAACACTTACATCACCCCCATAAAGTTTCCTCACGTTCCTTTCCAATAAATCTAGCAATTCGCCAGCCATCTGCTTCTCCATCAACAGTGGCAATAGTTGTTTTGATTTTTACTCATTAAAGCTCATTTTCATGGTTCTGGATTTTCATCTAAGTGGCCGTACAGCATGGATTTTATCTGGCTTCTTTTACTCATTATATGTGTGCCTACATGATGGCACACATTAGAGGTGGTCTCTTTATTTCTGAGTAGTGTTATTCTGTATGAATATACTACACTTTTTTTCTTCTATTAATGCATACTTGGGTTATTTTCAGTTTGGGGCTACTAAGGATAAAGCTATTATGAAAATTCTTATCAAGTATTTCATGGATAAGTGTTTCCATTTGCCTGAGGCAAATACCTAGGATGAAAATTACTAGATATTTTAAAAATTTTCCTAATATACATCTGTAAATTTATATTACTATTATTAATATATGAGAATTTCAGTGGCATCACAGCTTACGCATTTTATCCTTTTTAAGTTTAGCCATTCTAAATTTGGGTATCTGCTGTTCTCTCAGATGATCGGCATTCACCTCATGGTGAATGACACTAATCATTTTCAGTTTGTGGGCTATTAGAAATACATTTTACCAAACACCAAACTGTTTACCTGCCTGTTTTCACTGCTTTTTGATCAGCAGAAGCTTAGGATTTTGTGGAAGTTCATTTTGTCTTTTTTCTATGTAATTTTATTGTGACAAGAAAACACTGCCAATCCCAAAGACACGACAGTGTGTGAGAGTGTGTGTGTATGACGTTCAAGAAACTTTACAATTTTTGCTTCTCCATTTAGTACTCTGATCTACTGAAAATTAATTTTTTATTATAATCCAAGGATGACATTAATGTTAATTTGTGCCTTACCTTCTGACCCGGTTGTTCCAAAATACACTATTGAAAATTTTTCTTTCTCCTTTGTATCATACTGTTATCAATGCCATCTTCCTAAAATTTTAAATCCAGTTTGTGAATCATGCGAGCCACCTTTCACACTAAAGAGCTCCATACGGCTTCTGGCTACTATATAAATCATCACAGATACAAATATCTCCAGATCACTTATCTATGTCATATCAGGGACCCATGTCTTATAAATATTTTGGGTCCTGCCAAAAGTAAACTAGACCAATAAAAGGGAAGTTAAAATCAATCACTGAACTTATAGAAGACACCCAGAGTAGACAAACTCAGACAGACAACATAGAATCTATAAACATCCAAGTTAGACAGAAATTAATAGGCAGACAGGGATGAGCCCTCAAGGGAGTGCTGAACAAGATGAACACAACACTGTGGCTGACGGCCCATCTGAAGAAGGCCAGAACCCGAGATGGAGACAATGCCAGGCCTGCATGCCTCCCTAAGGATAAGCAGTAACTGAGATAATACTGTAATTTAGCAATATCCAGTCCAGTAAGTCCAGATAAACATCAGGCGCATAAGTCAGTGACCAGAACATCTGGAATCCTCCTTCCATTCCTTCCTCCCTTTCTTTAAAATGCATTGTTTCTTTTTATGTTAGAAGTTATAGATAAGCTACAGTAAATGATATATGCCATATACCTTAAATGCATACTTCGCTCCCTTATTAGATCAATATTAGCTAAGCAACTATACTTGTAGTTGCATAGCTACATTATGGTCAGACCCATATTGTATCTACCTCATGATTTTGCTCTATAAAACATTCTAGGAGAAATAGCCTTGGTGGCAATACACTTTTGAGACTCCTCCTGTCTTTTGGGAGCTTTCTCTCAAAAACCTTTCCTTCTCTTAAACTCTTTTGTCCTTGAAATTCATCCTTCAATATTTGGGAGACATGAACTCAAGCACATCTGACATCTAGCAAGCTGGGCATTACTTTTCCCATGTCACAGAAGGATGCTGGCAGAGTTTCGAGAATGAACTGTTAGTGTTTAGTGAGTAGTTTCAGTTTTTCATGATGCAAAGAATTCTAAAAATTGATGGTGATAGATGCAAAACAATGTATTCAAAGTGTAATTAAATTTTTAATGGTAAATGTTTATTTTACCAACATTTTTAAAAGCTTTTAAAAACTGCTTTGTCCCAGGTTGGTAAGAAAACGGTTCAGTGTAGGTAAACAAACAATCTGTGTTACTAATAATTACTGACTTAATTCTCTTACATTCTGATATATTTCAGGGATAGTCAGAAAATCTTTATGTACAAATGAATATTGGAATCCAGAGACCAATTCAGTTTAATGTTGCTACCCTGGAGTTTTTGCTCTAGACCCTCTTCAGTTGAAAAGATAGAAGAGACAAACAACTATGCATGTAATATTGAAGAGATTTTTTTTTCATTAGATATTGGTAACTCATAGCGTACTAGCAGCAAGGGTTTTTAAATAAAAGTTTACTAAATAATATTTACTTGATTATGATAATTTAGCTAAAATGTTGATCAATGCAATATAAAACACTTGTAAAGCATAGATTGTACTATATTAATGCAAGGAATAGTAAAACATGAATGTTTAACTCTGGGAATTTTGTACTTTGTTCTGTTTTATAGTATATGGTCTGTTGAAACATTTTTATTTGGAATTCTCACTATAACTTCTTAATAAAGGCAAATATAGAATCTTCAATTAATTTGGCAGTGAAAGAGCCTTTGTTTGACAAGCTGAAAACACTCATAATAAGACTTTTAAAAATCAGTCTTATTCCTCAGAGACTTTTTTTTTTGAGAAAAAGATATTTGTGATATAGTGCCAGAGGGGCTCAAACTACCTATTGTTATGTCTGATTTGTGTATTTGAGGCATCCATAAATACTCTTCTCTGGAACCTCAGTTTAGTAATCCAAGATTTCCTATAGACCTACAGATCTCGATTACTATTGAAAATATTAGAGGTGTGATGCTACATTCCTGGAATCCCCCAGCACTCAGGAGGCTGAGGAAGAAGAATCACTGAGCGTTTGGAGACAATTCAGGTACACAGTGAATTCAAGGCCCGCTTGAATTACAAGCAAGATCCATTCTCAAAAAACAAAACAAACAAAAAAAAATTGAAATTATTGAGGATACTCTTTCAAATGTTTGAAAGGCAGAAAAATTAAAATTTGTGTTCTTTGCAGATCTTTACAAACTTTTCCTATTATTAAGGCTCAGAATTCCAAATTATTGGACGCTTAATTTTTCTCAAATTCGGAATAAAAAAGAAATAATAATCTAGGCATGGTCTGGTTAACTATTCTAATAAAAATATTTATCCAATGTAATTCATATTATTTAACGCTCACACAAAAACCTATGAAATACCCATTTTACAAAGAAGGAGGTTTTCAGACAAAACACACAATCTAAAGATAATAAAATGGATAGGCTTCCCTGGTCTTCAAAGTCAATGGTCTTCACTGCAAATCCATGGAAAGTAAGGCTGTAGCCAACCTCAAGAAATCTCGCGATGTTTCCGAAACTACAACTCCCAACATGCAAAAAAAAAAACCGGCTCTTGTCCCACTGTCTCCGTCTGCGAGGCTAGACGGCTCCAGCATGCCTTGAGGCACGAAAGGCAACCTGGGAGTGGTAGTTCCCTGGGCGCCGGCCAGAATCGCCAGCTCGGCTGTGGCGGATTGAGCCGCTCCAGCAGTCCTGTTGGGACTGAGGCGGAGAAAGGGCGTGGAACGGAAAGGGTGAGTCAGACAGTGTCTGCGCGATAAAGGGAGACCGCACGCGGCGCGGGTGTGATTGCGGAAGTGCGGTCCGTGCCGCAGACCGTTCTGGTCACCGCTGTCTCGGAGGCTGCGGAGGAAGGGTGAAGAGGAGCCGGGCGCCCGCAGCCATTCTGCCCTCGGCGTCCCGCCGCCATCTCCACCATGCAGTCCCGGGAAGACGCCCCGCGCGCTCGCCGCCTCGCCAGTCCCCGCGGTGGGAGGCGGCCCAAGAGGATCTCCAAGCCCTCGGTTTCGGCCTTTTTCACGGGCCCAGAGGAACTGAAGGACACAGCCCATTCCGCAGCCCTGCTGGCCCAGCTCAAGTCCTTCTACGATGCTCGACTGCTGTGCGATGTGACCATCGAGGTGGTGACGCCTGGCAGCGGGCCTGGCACTGGCCGCCTGTTCTCCTGCAACCGCAACGTGCTGGCCGCCGCGTGCCCCTACTTCAAGAGCATGTTCACAGGGGGCATGTACGAGAGCCAGCAAGCCAGCGTGACCATGCACGACGTAGATGCTGACTCCTTCGAGGTTTTGGTGGACTACTGCTACACAGGTCGTGTGTCCCTGAGCGAGGCCAATGTGCAGCGCCTCTATGCGGCCTCGGATATGCTTCAGCTCGAGTATGTGCGAGAAGCCTGTGCTTCTTTTTTAGCTCGTCGACTGGACTTGGCCAACTGCACTGCCATCCTCAAGTTTGCTGATGCCTTTGATCATCACAAACTGCGATCTCAGGCCCAGTCGTTTATAGCTCACAACTTCAAGCAACTAAGCAGAATGGGTTCGGTTCGGGAGGAAAGTCTTGCAGATTTGACCCTGAGCCAGCTGCTGGCCGTCCTGCGCCTGGACAGTTTGGACATAGAGAGTGAGAGGACCGTGTGCCACGTGGCTGTGCAGTGGCTGGAGGCAGCTCCCAAAGAGCGAGGGCCCAGCGCTGCAGAAGTATTCAGGTGTGTTCGCTGGGCACACTTCACTGAAGACGATCAGAGCTACGTGAAAGGGCTGCTGACCAAGCCCATTGTGAAGAAGTACTGCCTGGACGTTATTGAAGGGGCCCTGCAGATGTGCTATGGTGACTTGTTGTATAAGTCCCCACTCCCAAACCCAAACAGCAGCAGCAGAGGTGGCGGCAGCAGCAGCAGCAGCTGTGTTGTATCTGTAGCTGATAATTCACCCCAGAGATTAGGTATGTGTGCCAAAGAGATGGTGATTTTCTTTGGGCATCCCAGAGACCCTTTTCTGTGCTATGACCCATATTCAGGGGACATTTATACAATGCCCTCACCTTTGACCAGCTTGGCTCACACTAAGACTATCACCTCCTCAGCTGTTTGCGTCTCCCCAGACCATGATATCTATTTAGCTGCCCAGCCCAGGAAAGACCTGTGGGTGTATAAGCCAGCCCAAAATAGTTGGCAGCAACTGGCAGATAGATTGCTGTGTCGTGAGGGCATGGATGTGGCATATCTCAATGGCTACATTTACATTTTGGGTGGTCGAGACCCTGTTACTGGGGTTAAAATGAAAGAAGTGGAATGCTACAGTGTTCAGCGGAACCAGTGGGCCCTGGTGGCTCCTGTACCCCACTCCTTTTACTCCTTTGAACTAATAGTTGTTCAGAACTATCTGTATGCTGTCAACAGTAAGCGCATGCTGTGCTATGATCCTAGTCATAATATGTGGCTGAACTGTGCATCTCTTAAGCGAAGTGAATTTCAGGAAGCCTGTGTCTTCAAGGATGAGATCTATTGTATCTGCGACATCCCAATTATGAAGGTCTACAACCCAGCCAGGGGAGAATGGAGACGGATTAGTAATATTCCTTTGGATTCAGAGACCCACAACTACCAGATTGTCAATCATGACCAAAAGTTACTGCTTATTACTTCCACCACCCCACAGTGGAAGAAGAACCGGGTGACTGTGTATCAATATGATACTACAGAAGACCAGTGGATTAATGTAGGTACCATGTTAGGCCTCTTGCAGTTTGACTCTGGGTTCATTTGCCTCTGTGCTCGGGTTTATCCTTCCTGCCTTGAACCTGGTCAGAGTTTCATTACTGAAGAAGATGATGCACGAAGTGAGTCCAGTACTGAATGGGACTTAGATGGATTCAGTGAGTTGGACTCTGAGTCAGGAAGCTCCAGTTCTTTTTCTGATGATGAAGTCTGGGTACAGGTAGCACCGCAGCGTAGTGTGCTGGATCAGCAGGGTTCTTTGTAATGCTTTGAAGTACTGTGATGTTTCTACTTGCTGTATGGAATGTGTCTTTAAAAGATACACTTTTTCCTGGAAAAATAATAGTTGATTAGGACTGCAGATTTGGCTGAGGTAATATTTTGAAATACTAATATAATGTACAAAGTTTAAGTGGTCTTCAACATCAACCCATTCACTAATTTACTCTGCTAAAAATAAAAGCATAAAATATGCAAAAAATGTACTACATAATTGATTAGGATGGTTGGTGGGTTTTTTAAATTAGTGTTTATTTTGACTGTTGTAATTTAGTGTGCTAAGTTTTAAATTCAGTTTAGTGCCACAGAGAACTTTTAAATTTGCGTGTTAATAAACTGGCAATTGTTGATAGGATTTTGATAGTATATGTTCCTTCAGATAATTAAAATAGATTTACAAAATCCTTACTTTTTAGTATTCTAAGTTATAGTTAAAGTTCTATTTGCTTTTATTTCTAAAAAAAGAGTTGAATGTATGTATTAAGATTACTTAAGAGTGACTTTATTTTCATAATGTGTCACTGGCCTTTCAAGCAAGGTCACATCAGTTTTTTAAAAATCAAGATTCCACTGTTTTAAAGGAATTTCAGTTTTTATTTTGGAATATACAATATGTATTTGCTAAATGTAGCCAGTTTTCTGTCCTGAAAAAAATTCATTCTAGTAGTGTCACCAATTTTAAGCACCTTTCTAAACTAAAAACCAAACAAACTCGCTTTGTAGGTTCACATTGATCTTTGCCTAATACATCCTTCACTGACCCAGATGAACATTTTTTTCACTAGACATATAATTGGGTAATACAAATCTTTATCCACTGGTGATACCTTGTCTTAAAGTTTACTTGCACCCCTAAAATATTTTGGGTATGTAATTTTAGTGTTCATCTTAGAATATTCTTTAGCAAAAGTGATTTATTCTGCACTGTTTTTGTAAGATTGTTTTTGGAAATATAAGCTAAAAATTATATTTTATTGAGATTAGTAGTTACAGTGTCTACCAACTCTAAAATCAAGTGCCCGCAAAGAATTTTAAAACTTTAAGCTATGTATAGAAACAGTTTTGTTTAGCATTTAAATATTGTCACTTTTATAGGTCGCTATAAATATTCTTGATTATTAACTCACAGGTATTTTTGTATAAAAAGTTGACAGTTAAAGATCATAAATGGGTAATGGCATTCGGGGCCAACAGTGAAAATACTTTTCCTCAAAAGTGTTTCCCTAAGGAGTGATATCCATGTTTATTTTATTATAATGTTTGTTTCTGTTTTATGTTCCTCTGTCAAGTATATTCCAGTCTTTATTTCTTTCACCATATGTAAGGGTAATCCAGAAATAGAGACTAAATTACACAAAACTGACAGTTAATACAAGATTATATAGGTGCTCATCTTTTAAAAGTTTGTTAATACATACAGTTGCCATAATACAGGTACCTGATAAGTAGAAAGTTTTCTATACCCACATCTTCCTGAATTTTTGTTCAATAACATGCTAATTCCTTTTTATTCTCTACTGACAGAATGCTAATATTTCTTATCCTCTAGTCGAGGAATCTGGTACAGATGAAGTGAATTTTTTTAATGAAAAAGAAGGAAAGAAAGTTAACAAAAATATTCCACAAATAATGTTTTCTTCATCATTTTGATTGGCCACTTGACAAGTCTACAAGATGTTCCTCTGTAACATTAGAAATACGGTGCCTGCCTAGTGGAACATACTCCTTCAAGAGTAGACATGCTACTGTGGCCTGAGGTTGGTTTTTGGTCGGTTTGCTATCAGGGATATAAAAAGCGCTGCTTTTAACATAGAGAAGTATTTCTCAGTGGTGTTTTAACATAGAGAAGTATTTCTCAGAAGTATTTCTCATATGGGCCAATTTTTCTTCATTAACTTCCATTGTTAGCTTATATTCTGTAAGGTTAAACTGTGAAATATTTATCTCAACCAGATTATTTATCTGCACAATTAAGACCTGTAACTGTTGTATAAAAGACAAATCCTTCAATGTGTCTCAATGTTTGAGTCGAAGCCTAGGCCTAAATATTATTATCTTGGTTTTTAGTGATGATTTTGGTTTTGTGATATATTTGTGAATTAGGGAATGAATATTAACTAGTGTTTTATAGATAAGTGATTTGGGGAATAGATATTAACTATTGTTTTATGGATAAGTGATTTGTACATGGTTAGTTACAAATAAAGTGGTACTAAATCTCAGGCTTTCTGACTTTCTAATTCAGTGGTTCTGTTAAATATATAAAAAGTTTGCTTGTGTAATATAACCAGCAGTGCTGAAATCCCTTCTTGACAAGAGAGCACCCTTGTCTCTGTTTCCAATTAATCAGCACATTTTGTAGCAAATGTTTAATATAATGTATTTTCAGGGCATCATTTGTATAATTTTGAACATCTGCTGTAGTCATTTGAGTATCTGGATCGTAGTTGAGATTGAGTCATTCCCCAAGAAAATTTGCATTTATATTTTGCTAATTTCAAGGAAGTTCATCCACAAACCCAGGAAGAACAGTTGTGACAGTCTTACTACCTCTACAAGAAAAAACTCATGTTTTTCATGAGACATAGTTCATATATTGACTGGGGGACAAAGCGACATATTCCTGTAACAAAGCTAAACAAATAGATGTTCACTGTCTTAAAGAGATGTAAAAATTAATGACTATCTCACAACAAAAATAAAGTTGATATTCTGAAATTCAGACTTGTTCATGATAACATAAGTTACTAAATGCAAGTGATATAAAGGAAGAATAAAATGAACATGTATGTAAATTCTAAGCTTTGGAGCTGACATGTTACGCATATACATGTAATACAATTATTGTCCAGAAGGTGTGCCAGTTGTGGTGGTGCACACCTGTCATACCAGTACTTGAGAAGTTAAGGAAGAAAATCACCACAAGTTCTAGGCCAACCTGAGCTACATAGTGAGTTCAAGGACAGCCTCAACTACATAGCAAGATCCTGCCTCCCAAAAAAAAAAAAAAAAGCTGTGTATATATTCAATTCTAAAGTAAAATATATGGTTCAGATGTTTGACACTACTGATACTATAGCTGCTTGCTAGAAATATATGTAAGTTCTTCAATATTCACCATGAAAAGGTAGTTGGAAGAGGGCATCTAACCAATAGGAATCTGTTTAAAATGTAGTTTTAAAAAAAGTCAATTTGCTCATCAGTGCTCATTAAACCAGAAATCAGGGCTTTGCCTGATTTCATTTTTACCAATTTGTGCTGAAATGAAGGAAAAAAGTGCAAAACATGAATATCTTTTGAAACTAAAATTACTCAATTGCATTTATCTTAATGTTCATAAATTTGAAATGTAAAACATTTGCACACTAGTTCAGTCCCTACAGTTGGCTGGGTATATATATATATATATATATATATATATCCTGAAGTCTGATCATTAAAATGTGTACATTTGCATTCTACTTTGGATTTGAACTCTTGAAATCATTTTACATTGCTTGTTTCCTGGTGTTATTTTTCCTCTATCCTATGATGAGTCTGTATTTTTAAAAATTAAACATCTTTTTAATCTTTACAACTAACTGAAAAAAGAATATTTATTATAGGAAATGTGATAAAAACAAAGTATTAAAATGACAAAATATGACTAGCAACCCCAGAGATTCAGTTGATAAGCTATTTTAGAGCCATTTAGTGGATTAAATATATGCAAACTGACGTTATCAAGTATTAAAAGTACCATGGGCTGTTTTTTGTTTGTGTTTTTGTTTTTGTAGAAGAGATTTAACTCTGGGTCTTCACACTGGCCAACACCCCCCATCTTTTTCTTTTCCTTTCTTTGTCTTTCCCTTCTCTCTCTCCTCCTCCTCCTTTTTTTAAATTCTGAAATAGAATCTCACTAAATTGCTCTTCATAGGCTCTAACTTGCAGTCCTCTTGTCTCAGCTTCCCAGAGTGCTGGCATTACAGATATGTGCCACCACACCTGGCTAGCTCATAGCTTTTATGCTCTCTCCTTGACTCTGGGTTACTTTGTCATTAGATCTATTTCTGTACATTGTGGACTCACCATGGTTCAAGGTACAAAGCAGATAGGGACAAATTGCATTCACTTTTCCATATTTGAGAACTTTTCTTTCCACTCCTATGGAGCCAGCCTTGTACACTCACTTCATTTTTAACTGTCTGGAACCACCATATCTTAATAGGAATGTTCTTTTGGGAGCACACTTTTTTTTAGATTTTAAAGACTACAAAACCAAAATCGAACAATAAAGCAAATTAAAACAATGAAATCAATACAGGACTTCAAAACAAGATAATAGAAAAATCAACAATGGCTACTCTAATGCCTCACGTTATCTTCAAAATAGTTTCCCATACCATAAGACATAATGAAATCAAGCAAAACAAAACAGAATAAAACCAATAAAAACCAAAGCATTACAGGACTTCAAAATGAGATAATAGGAAATCAACAATGGCTTCCATAATTTATCTTCTTATCTTCAAATATCTGCCCATACCATCAGACATAATAGAATTTTACAAAAGAAAACAATAAAATCAAACCTAACAAAACAATGAAAACAATACAGGAATTCAAAACAAGACATTAACAAAGGCTGCCACCGTCCCTTTGAGACATTTCCTCCCCTTTCACCTTCACAATATCTATTGTACGTTTTGGTACCAAGGATGGAACTCAGGACTTTGTGCTTTCCAGGCAGGAACTTATGCTGCTGAGCTTAATCCCCAGGCCCTATTGTACATTTTAGATCCACTAAATCCCTCAGCTTTTTACACTAGGGAAACAACACAACGTTCATCCATGTGTGAGTCCAAAGCAGTTCACTCATGAGCCTGATCTCCCGTTACATCCATTTATACAAGAGCCTGGAGGTTATCCATTTTTATAGCTGAGTAGCTTTCCATTGTATGAAAATACTGTATCTTTCCTATTCATTCCTCAACTGAAAGGCAAGCTACCCCTGCTTTTTTCTGGGTTCTTGTCACATGGAGCATTGTCTTGTCTCCTCCAACCTTCAGGCCATTAATTTTCTTTAGAGTCAAATGTGTTTCTTGTATACATTATGTTGATGGAGCCTGTCTCCCTATTCACTCTACCTAGGTTTCTTTTTCTTGGTAAATCGAGACCTTCTACATTAATGATTACATATACTGGCTCATCTCTACCATACTATCCTCCTGACATTGGCCCTCACTTCCCCCTCCATTCAGTTGCCTTCCCTGTTTGGCAATCCCTCTCTGCTACTGTTCCTGGAACCATGATGTTATGGATTAAGAACTGGTGGTCAACTTAACACCAGCTGGATTACATCAGCATGGCATTGAGCGAAGATGCTTCACCTGAGGAAAGTTGCCAGGATAAATAGGTGGAGAAGAAGGGAGGTGTGGAGGGTTGAGGCATTAAGGAGGCGTTGTGGGTTCTCCTATGAGTTGCTCTCTGAGCTGTTGGTTCTCCTGGAGAAGCTTTGGTCCATATATTGAGCATTGCTTCCTGGCTCTGGAAGGGAAGGCACGTGCTGCTTGGTCTCCAGGATGAACCCGTCACGCTGCTTCCTGGCATGTACCCGACTGTGCTTGTCATCAGAGGAGCTTGGGGCCTCCGTGTTGCTGAGGACAGCTGTGGTGCCTTTCAGGATAGCCCTGGTCTTCGTTGTGAGTGTGATTTCTTGGCTCCAGCATAGAACCCTCAACCCACTAGGAGCTGTGGCTCCTTCATCCTGCTGGCATAGACTTTCTAGCTTCCACCGCTGACCCTTGGGTCTTCACAGCACGGATCCGTAAAAGAGACTGGCATGAGTCCTTCTTGTGGGCTCTGGACCTCCAGTTGGACTCGTGGGAGGCATTGTCCTGAGCTCTGGATTTTTATCTGGACTCATGTGGGACATTGCTGTGGGGTTTAGGCTCTTGACTAAACTATGTCTTTGGTGTTATGGATAGATTTCCTGCATTTTCCTGTGTTAACTCCCGGTGACCATTATAAAAATAATATTATAAACTCCATGTTTTGATCCTAATTGTTCTCTGTGTACAACCCCTGACTACAACACGTGATCATTTTTATCTCTCTCTAGAATAACCTTCATCACTGTTTGTAGGGTTGGTTTGGTGTTCATGAATTCCATCAGTTGTTCTTTATCATGGAAGTATCTTATTTTTTCATTAATTCTGAAAGGTGGTTTTGCAGGTTACATCAGACTGGTTTGGAAGTTGTTTTCTTTCAGGACTGAAACATTTCACTCCAAGCTCTCCTTGACTTGATGGTTTGCACTGAGAAGTCTGCTGTGATTCTGATGGATTTTCCTTTATAGGTGATTTGTTTTTCCCTAACAGCCTTTAATAGTCTTTTCTTATGCTGAATTTCTGGAATCTTTATTATGTATCTGAGGGTAAATTTAGTTTGGCTGTAGCTAGGAGGAGTTCTATGTGCCTCATTTAGCTGTATGTCAGGTCCTTTTCCCATGCTTGGGAAGTTTTCTGCTAGTATTTCTGTAATAGTCCTTTTATGTCATTTGTGTTGACCCCTCTTTTTCACTGGCATCTATCAGTCTTCAATTATTTTTCTTCGCATTATCCTGAAACTGTTGAATTGTTCTTTCCTGGTTCCTTGTTACTTTGAAGAGATCTTTCCTTTCATGATTGCTAGCCGCAGTCCTTTCTTTAAGGTAGGAAAATCTATCCAGTTTCTTTCAAGCACTTTTACCAGATTTTAGTTTTTGATTTCCTGGATATCTCTTTGAATCTATTTCATGCATTTTAGTACTTTCCTGTATTGTTCATTCAAAGTTTCCATCATTTTCCGATGCTCCTCTTTTTTTTTAATCTATGTATTCTTTAGATATACCCAGCATTTCTTTCATTATGTCTGTCATTTTTTTCTTTTACCTGAGATATTATTTTTGATTTGATTACTTTTACAGCTTCATGAAATTTTTTCTTCAGCTGCCATCCCTTCAGAAATTTCAGGTTTGTTAATTCCACTGTCTTCCATTTGTATGTCTCCTGACTTATGCTGTGTGGGCTGGGGGGGTATAAGATTGCCTTTTGCTCCTTCATGTTGACATTTTGCTGAGTTCCTCCAGATGAGAAGGTTGTGGGGTCCCAGGTGCTTCTCTCATTGGCTGCCCATCTGCAGTGTAAGGGAATGGGTCAGGCACCAGGGTTCCTTCTATCCTAGGTTCCCAGGGAGGCAGTGGAGTGCAGGGCTGGCTTCTCCAGATGTGCACAGCTACACTGAGACTCCCCCAATGGCACCATATCTGCAGGAGGCTGACTTGCTGATTCTCCCCACTGATATTGGCTACTGGTGCCTGATAGCAACTGCAGGTTTGCAGGACCTCTATGTTCAATTTCTTCTGCTGGTGTTTATATTCTGTGATAATGTCCATGTTGCATCCCAGAGAAGGGCTGGGTATGGACCTGATCTTGGCCTCTAGATATGGGGGCTGAGACTGATCTGCTGTCAGAGAAGTTCTCTAGAATCCAACTGCTGTCTCCTCCCTGGTCCTTCAGATGCTTCCACATTACTGGCTTCATTGATTACTTCACCCTCCAGAGGTATGTGTGCATCTGTGCACTGGGCTGTTATCCTGGGTCTTGGGGATCCCATTGGTCTTACACCCTTTCAGCTGGCCCAACCTCTGGAATGCAGTGGATAAGGTCCAGATCACAAATTCACTCTCTTCTAGCCATCCCC